GTTGAATGGGTGACCGCGGTAGGCTTCGACAGGACAGGTTATGGTCACCAAAAGTTCCAATCACCATAGTAATAGAGGTTGTACGGTCACAGTTCATCGGTGGAAAATTCTGTGCAACAATCATCGGATTTTTTATTGGTTCGATCGGATAGAAACTAGGGAATGCGGAATGCGGCCGTAACGCACACAGCAATACCTAATTTTCTTTTTTCCTCGGGACCCGCTGTAGCGTCTACGTTCCGTAGTTCCGTGTGTGCGCGTAATAAAATAATATGGAAGGTAAGTGTTTTCTGTGTTTTTTCGTGTCGAAAGTTCGTTTTATATCTTCCTCTGTATAAGCCGTAAACGTCAAATTCCGTCGCGTTAAACGTTCACCGAGAAATGATGATCGTGCGTTGTACACCAGTACAAAGTCGTCGTCGGTATCGTCGGTAAGTTCTTACCTAGGTACCTAATTCGGCAATAGGAATTTAAAAGCCGGATCCTAAAAACACAACTCTTATTAAATAAATCAAGCTTTTTTCATTGTATTTCGGCTTCGATATAAAATTTAAAGATTAAATTAACGAATAATCATAATGCCCCCCCCTCCCCCAAAAAAAGGCCTGGCTACGCATATGCTCACTGATATAATACAGCGATACAATTTTGAAAGAAATTAAAAAAAAAAATTTATTTGTTATTTTGTTTTGTCTGAGCTTTAGTTACCAGCATTATAGTAGATAATAATATATTTAAGTAAGAGATTGTAATTAATTATAAGTAATGCTTAGCAGTAGATATAGTCAGTATTTGGCACCTACTTATTAAGAACATGCAAATACTTGACCAAATATGCGAAAAAATTTGTGTCAAACTGTTATTTTATAAAAATATTTATATTTTGTTTCAGATTTGGCGTCTGTGTGCGAATAAGTGCAATCTTCGTCACCCACAAGGTAAGCAGATGGTTATTAATTTAGATTTAAGATAGCAGTAAGTGTTGATCCACAAAATAAATACTTATATAACTATAATATAGGTAGGTAGGTACTTCTAATAAGTAGGTATGTTATTTTTTGGTAGTAAATTACATTAAAAGATTACCTATACATTTTGTTGATGCTATTTTGTATGTATCGATTATTTATTTATTTATAATAATTTAACGGGCTTGAGTCCTTTGGATATAAGATATCTATATGTGAAATTAAATCTAGACTACTGAGATTAAGCGTCATTTTGTGTTGTTTTAATTTTTAAATTATTGTTTACTTATATATATGATATATATATATATCTATATAATATATAGGTATGATTACCTAGGTAGGTAGGTAATTGAAATTACAAGTAAATATTAAATAATATTTAGGTAATTGATTTTTAAAAATAAAATATAAAGTATTTTCATTTAAAATAATATTTTATAAAAATGTATAAAATAATGTATAACTTTATATTATTATACTTAAATAAACATTAAGACAAAAGACAAAAATTAGAGAATGGTTTATATTTTTCTCCTTGAAAATTATGAAGAAGATGACACTGGTAAGTTTCACTTTGATTTTGTAGGTACCTATCTAGTTGGTATAAACATTTATGGTTATCCTTGAATTAAAATTTATCTTGGTTGTGATTGAAAATACATAGGTAAACAATTTTAAATTAATCTTTTGTACTGCTGGTAACTATTTAAAGTCATTTTTAAAAGTAAATACTATAATTCCTTATACAAATGTATACTTACCTAATTGTTTAAATAGATACAAAAATTTGGGTACATAATAACACATAATAACTATTATCCTTAATAATAATAGTTTGTAATAACTTTTTTGATTTAATTTTAAAAGTAATTTACATTTTAATTTCTTCATTTTTTTTTTCGGAAATATTCATAAAATATAAGAGGGAAATCATATTTTATTTTTAATGATTATAAAGATGTCATATAAAATATTTAAAATAGTTTTTGCACTCAAAAAAATTATTTTTTGTTACCTATTATAAGCATTACAATTTTTTTTTATTCAGAAATTACTGGTTATCACATCAAGAAATGTGTGAATTACATCTTTAATAAATATTCTCCATTATTTATTAGAGTAAACATTAATTTTGAAACAAGTAATTATTTAGAATTTATACTTTTAAGTAAATGCAATTACTTCTATGAGTTTGAAAATGTAATATGATTATAGATATATAATTTAGCTGAAGAAATAGTTATATTTTTATAATACAATAGATTATATTAATATTTTAATTTATTATATAGGTCAATATGCCTATCCAAATGTATATAGATGATAAATTGATAATATTCTCTAATTTTATTAAATTAGTGGATTAATGCTATTATAAATTATATATATATTATTAACTTTATAATACATTACTATACAATACAATTGGTGGTTAGGTATTTGTGTAGGTAAATGGGTTATTGTTTATTAATAGGTACAGGTATCTATTATTTAAATTTCTAAATGTTCTTGAGTCTGTCTTCTCTGTCAATGTAAGTCTATAGACTATATTGGGCTTAGTCATAATAAGAGTTAACAAGTAAGAGACTTTAGTTAGACACGCCGTTTAATTCATCATTTTCCAGTGACCATGCACATACACTTTTTTCCCCCTAAAATTTAACCTTTAAAGGGAGGCTAACATATTAACTTTTGCTTTTATAATATAAATTTTTTTTTTTTAAAGTTCCTATTTGTAGGTAACATGATTGTTATTTAACACTAATTATTAAATAATTAAATGAGTCAAATTAAATTAAACTTTACTTTAGAGGTTAAATTTCAGTTTGGTAGGTAATGAAAATGCTGTTTAGAAATTACAATTTCAATAAAGATAATAATAACATACAATTATACTTACAATAATAAATCTAATGCAGTGTTTTGGTTTTTGGATTTTGAAATAAGACTTAATGAGACAAGTATTTATAACACTAAGAAGATTTAGTTTTTAAGATTCATTATTAGGTATGATAATACAGTTAAAGTATAATATTTCCTCAAATAAGTTATTAATGCATTTAGAAAGTGAGTAAGCATAGTTAAATAATATAGGAACTTATTTCATTTTAATTCATTCATTCGGAGGTCTGTTTTTTTAATAATTATTATGCTTATGTGCTCAACAATTTTAGTTTCAGAATATTCAAATTTTACAAATAATTATTAAACAATATTGAAGTAATGCCATTCTATATTATATGAATATCACTGATGTTTTAATTTAATTGAAAATCATTATTATCATGCAAATTACTTTGATATAGTTTTACTGTTTTACACCAACTTATTTTACTACTGGTTGAAATTGTATTAATTAAAACTAGGTTCATCTCATTAAAAAATTATAATATGATATTAATAATTAAAATAAAACGAATGTCTGTAAACAAATACATTGGGGTTTTAAACAAGTATGTTATATTTTCATTGAATTATATTTGTATTGTCTATGAAATATTAATCTACCTAAAACTCAGTGGTGGGTATATATGATACTGGAAAAGTTGATAATTATTCATTGATGACAATGACTAGTCAATAACGATAATGCCTGATTTAGTAAGAAATTAATGTCCATGACTAAACATTGATGACAGTTCCTATTAAAATAAGACAATGATGATAAAACTAAAAATTGAATAATGCATAATATCATATTATTGGTTATTTAGGATAAATCATAATATATTATTTAGCTGGCATTATTGAATTATTTTAATCTAAATTCAGCCACTAAATGGTTTCGGCCTCCGTGACCGATTGCTGTATGTGTAGAATGAATGATGTCAAAAAGCTCTTCATTTTTCACATAAAATTACACCCCTCCGTCGCATTGGTTACTTAGCTATGGTTTTAATAAGACATTTTATACCGTTGACAACAAGAATGTCGTACTACATAGGAATATTCCTATAATCTTTCATAGTTTCGTACACTTTTTTTCCTCGGCCGTAGATACCATGATTTGGATTACTTTATTTCTTCGATTCGTTCACAATAATCATAATTATCAAAAAAAAAAAAAAAAAAAGTTTTTATCAATAGGTACCTACGTTTATTTTCAATTAATAATGAAACCGTGTTGTCAAATTTTAAGCACATTTCATTTAAATCCATATTGAAATACAAAATTATTAAACACAATTATTAAAACTTCGTTATTCACCATTAGAAGGCACAAACAGCAATGTTCTACTCTCGTACGGCATGTACGATGGGTACTTATCGGTCGATACATTTTATTTGCTTATTTTCTTAACGTAAAACCGGTTTGACCAAACACAATATAATTTATAATTAGACCGATAAAGATAACCGATAACATTGTTTAATATTCTATTATTGTATTATAAATGACAATAATGCAGAAATGTTCGTAAAACTACGAAATATCCAACATTGCCTATCATTTGTCAGTCACTGTTAACAATGACTAGGCAATCACCACAATTCCTTAATCATCATCTTTTCCGGTAGGTAACATATATTAGATGTGTATCCATAACTTTTATATCAGTGCGATCAGTGGCGAAATATTTCCTACAAGGAGGTTTTTTGAAGGCTACATATAAAATTGCGCACATTATGTAAAATCTACGCGTTTATTCTTTCATATTAAACTTGATCAGTTACTTTACTTAGATAACAATTCATATTTTTTATTCTATTAGGTGCGTACGTTTGCTCGTTAATTATGTTCGAATTATGTTTATCTAGGTTATTCACTGTCGTTTACTTTCCATTGTATTATGCACTTATTAATGCACAATGCGTGATATTCCACATAAATATGATGGCATATACTCTGAAGGGAAAATATATTTGTAAACAAACATTTTTTTCGCTTCGAAAATTCAAGTACTGAAGTACCTACGGCGCCTATAAAATCATACTACATTGGTAATTCAATTTTATGTACACGCTTATTGTTTTTTTTTTATGTATATATATATATTTTTTTATTTGGTAGAAATATAATTTAAATAAGCATGATAATTTATACAGTTGATTGATGTGTTGTTTTCGTAAATGTATGGTTTGTCATTTTTAACCAAATAAAAAAAAATTATATTATAATGAAATACATAAACTTATAACAAATAGTTTTCACAAACAATTCAAGTGAAACAAATTTAAAAGTAGGTAAATGTTTGTAAAGTGTAAACAAAATACATTTAACTATTATATACGATATACCTAGTTACCTAATTAATAATCATTTATTATTACAACAATATTTATTTTATAAGTATAACGCCTGCAAGAGGGTAAATACGATGGCATATAAATAGACAATAGTAAAATAGACATTGCTTATATCGTTATTAAATTTCTTTTTCGACAGTTTGGTTTTTTTCTACAACGTTGCCCACAATAATCGTTTGGTTTCCCTGCTCAACATTTTCGGTGCTGGTGACTATCATATCTTGTGGCTCGTGGACATTCTCCTTTATTACAGCGTCTGCGTGTTTGGCTGAGAGTTTTCTAGATATCAGTTTTTTGCTCATTTTCTTCTCGTGATGCTTCATCGTCGTTGCCGTCTCGTCAAAATCACCCGTGCCGCCGCTTTCGTGATCAGACCTGTCTTGAAAAATGTTACCAACACCGCTGGGTACGATTGGCTGAAAACCACTCTCGACTACTACGGTATTAGGGTTGAAACCACCTTGGAATTGTTGGTGATGGTGTCCGGTGGGTTCCCGTCTGTTCTGCGCCGCCGGCAGAACGTAACCGCCCATTTGCTGTATTTGCTGAGGTGTTTGTTGTTTGGATGAAGAATACGTCACCGAAACGGATTTTGATACCGAAGTGCTGGGCTGCTGTTGAAAACTACCCGCGTGATAGTCGGAGTGCTGCAGCGGTTGGGAAACCGGGGGCACCGGGTTGTATTGGTTTACAATGGGCTGACCGTTAAGCTTGTAAACGGGTTTCTTGTACACTACCGAGTGATGAGCGCCGTTCGGCATGGGCCCGTTGGACGGCAATCGCTTACCCGGCACCCGGTAACCGTGTTTCACAGGAGCATGCTGTTTATGGTTGAAAACCATTTGCACGGGATGATGGTCGGGGAGCACATTCGGTTGCGCTTGGAAATGTTGAACTACCGGCTGCCGTATAGGTCTGTAATTATGATTATTATTGTTAACGTTGTGCGACGGTAACACGTAATTATAGACGGACGACTTCACTGGTTGCGGACTACCGTAGTGAACTTTTGGCATGTAAAACGGAACGTTACCACCGTATGTGTAATTAGAGGCCGGGTATGCGTATAGAGTCAAATTTTGTTGCGGTGCGACCTGTGGAAGTCTGTAGTTATTATAAACAAATTGATCGTGGTGGGCTGGAGATTTGTAAAAATCGTTTTTTAAATTTTCTTCTAAAGCGACAGGAACTGACGGCATATTAAAATGCTCATTTGGATTTGTATTTTGGCTTATATAATTTTTATTGTGTTCATCGTTGTTGTAGTACTGTTTGTTTTCGACATCCGGCTTTACTCTTGTCGAATACTGAATACTGCCTCTTGATTGTAAATCTTCGGAAGCAGATGTATTCGGCTCAGCGATTGGTTGTTCTTTATCACACGAGTCTAATACGTTAATTTTCCAACCCAAGTGACGGTGTGTGAAACACTAAAAAAAAAAACATATATATATATATATATATAGCAATACAAAATATTTATGTATCACTCAAATTAGAAACGATATTATTTAACTTTTTTTTAAACTATAAATCCTTTTATAACCGTGTTAAGAAATACAATTTTTACGTATATTTGAAAAATAAACATATCTATGTTTTTTAGTTATTGTTATTGGAATTTAATAGATATAGAAACTCTAGTATTTTAAGAAATATTTTAGTATTTAGTGAAATAATAATGCATACTCTTTGTGTAAAATATTTTATACTAAATTTACTTCCTTTATAATTTAGAGAAAAACACGTGTTTAATAATAAATTAACATTTTATTAATATTAATTATTAGTTACCCACCTGGTAATATACTGTGTCTGGCGTATCTGCATCTGGAGTCCACTGTACTATTCCAGGGTCTCCGTTATCACAAGCTAGACTTAAAGTTCTTTGGTATGCACCAAAGGATACAAATTCATCTGCAGAAGGTTGTTGTGGATCTGGAGTCCAATTACATAAACGGCCAATACCTGTTGGGATTATGTCTCCCAATTTGCTAACACTAACTCCAGCATATATTTGGATGTTCTGCGTAATAAATTAGTCAATTTCGATAAGGATGTTATTGAATAATAAACATACGTTTAAATATAGCAAAAATATCTTAAATACAAATGTAATGATGTATATACAATATGGTAATCATAATTTTTATCACATCATAATTTTAATATTGGTCAACTAGTTATATCACAATATGATATTATATAACATTAGTATTATCTATAGTACATTTTATTATAGTGGACACCACTTTATTTTATCAGTTTGTAAATGAATTTAGATTTAATACAAAATAGTACGTATANAATACTTCCCCTTTTTTTTTCTCATAAAACACTCCTCGGCTCATTCGGTGGCCGGATCCTGCCGTGGCGACTCGTCTTCCTGCGAGTGCGTGTTGTCCCGTCGTCTAACATTCTGACATCATCATTTTTAACTAAATCAATTGTTTATTTTATCATTCCTACTACCTATTCTCATTAACATAATAAATATATATAATCATACCAGTGCGCAAAATCAACATTGTTGTTGAGGATATTCCGTTCAGGATGGGTAAGAATATTATTATTACATTTCATAGTTTACATTTTATATTAATTGTCTTCTACCGTCGTAGGCTGTAATAGGTAATCTAAGTGGTTATTGAGTGTACATTCAATTACTTTGTACCGCATTATTCACTTTATTACAAAGTGGCGCCCAGCTAAAAGCTCATACCCCACCTCAAATTATTTAAAAATAATAAATAATATTAACTCACACATTCTTAATTAACTACTAAACAATCTATCTAATTTAAAATAAATAAATAAATAATAACAATTTTTTTCTTTCGTTCAATTCAATTTTTTCTTGGTACCTATTTATAAAAATGGATCAAAACATTCTATTTTTTACGAATGTAGCAGATTACTTCTCTTAATTAGAACAAGATCAGATAAAAACAGAATTAACCAAAAGACGTTTGATTACTGTAGGAACGTTACCCGAATTAAAAACTAGATTATTACAATATCTTACTATCCAATCTATACCTACTGACTTTTTAAATCGCAAAACACCTAATTCTAACCAAACAAACCAGCAGGAAAAAATTACAATGATGGCCAATAAAAAGCCATATTTTAAACCCGTAACATTTTCTGGACTAATTTCAGAGAATTTCGACTCTTTTATAAACAAATACAACATGTGTGCGTCAATGAATGACTGGTCTGACGAAGACAAAACCTGATACTTTCCGGGTTTTCTAGAGGGCACTGCATTAAAAACGCATGAAAATATACAAAATTCTAATAATATTAAAAATAATTGGTCAGATCTAGAAAACTATTTTAGCATTCAATTTGAACCATCCGCCCAAATTAATATTCTTCGTTCCCTATTAGAAAAACGGAAACAATTTGATGACGAAAACCCTATGGCGTATATAACTGGCACGTTGATCCCTTAATGGCCCAACAGGAAATAATACGTAATATTACGAAGAGCATTAAACCACACATCATTAGGTACATAGGTCTCATGGACAATAATACTGTAGAAAAACTCAAGGGTAATATTCGAAATACGAAAAAGTTGAAGTCATGGCTGGTGGTCTAACTAATCAATCTGGTGATCTTTGCTGACTCAGTTATAAATCTCTACAAATTTACAAAATGAACGAAACAATTAAAACATTAAAAGAAAATAATGAACGACTAACGAAAAATTTAGAAAATTCTACTATGACCGAAAATATTAATAAAATTACTAACCAATTTAATGATAAATTTAATATTCTAAGCGAACAGTTAAAATCACAGAGCACTCTATAACCTAAAAACACTCAATATTTTAGAAATAATAATAACCATACACGGCACAATTCTCTTCCATAACATAAACTATTTAAACAAAATAATTTTAAACTTTAAACACCAAGTATTCAATGCAACAACTGTAAACTATATAATCATACAATATAAACTTGTCGTTTCCCTGAAACTCCACCTATATATCAATTATGTATTAGAATAGGACACATTGCTTGTGAATGTAGACAATATTTTAACCAATCAAAAAACGAATAACTAGGTTAAACGGCCGCATTGACAAAAGCCGTTCCCCTTCTTTGCTGTCTAAAACAAATAGAAAAATAGATAATAGCATAATAAGTCATATAATAAATATATTAATAGAATCACTACACATCTACGCGTACTTAGATAACACAAAAATATTATTAACCATTGATACTGGTGTTAACATTTGTTGCATTAGACACACACTTGTCCCTATTAAACACATAGAAAAGACACCAATAATATTAACAGGGGCAAATAATGAACCTCTAATTGTACTTGGCTCAACTATAGTAAATGTTACCATCAATTCCCAAACATTCAAAATATTAACTTATGTAGTCAAAAATCTTGTGCATTGATCATAGGTAACGATTTTCTTTTCAAACAAAAGGCGCAAATAAATTTTGAAAAAAAACATTAGTACTAAACAACTTACTGTCTATAAAAACATACAGCAGTTACACAAAAAATCATCATATGAATGGAATCAAAGAGGAGGTTTTAGATTTGTTTGCAGTAGATCCATCACACTCTATAGCCCATTGCATCTCAGCGGATTTAAAAATGAGTAAAGGATTAGCGGCACATATAAAAAACGAATTTGGGGACGCATTTCCCCAATTATCGAAACTATAACCAAGAATAGGTGAAGCTATTCTCATTAATATAGGGAATCGGACAATTTATTACGTAATAACAAAACAAAAATATTTTCATAAACCGACAAATACAAATATAAAAATTGCACTGGGAAGTCTATATAAAACCATGATTAAATTACAAGACTATAAGCTATCCCCACAATAGCAACTGGACTAGATAAACGAAATTGGTTCAATATAAAACAAATAATATATTCTGAATTTAAAAATTATAATATAGAATTACTCATTTGCCATAAAAAATTAACTGATATAACAAATAATTAAAAAACACGAGAGCACAAAAAAATTATCTATTTAATACGTGACCATTATTACTTTGACTAACTAATTATGAAAGTCAATAACATTGACGACAATCACGTATATAATAATAAATTACGGCATAATTACTATAATGTCAACACACAAATCAACAATAAAAACGACAATAAATTAGAAGCAATTCCTTATAATAAGTATAACACCGACAATAGTGAAGATAATGAAATAAATCTAATCTTTAGTAGTTACAAACCCGGTGAGAATGTTCATGGGGACGGCAATTGTGATCTCTATGCCCTATGCAACGCTTTAAACGATAATAAAGAAAAAAAGATAACTTCTATAGGCCTTCTTTTAGAATTATTACAGTAATCAGACCTCCCTGGTCATTGGTGGTCCGATGAAGAATTGACTTCCATTGCCGATTATTATAATCATGACACTTATATATTTGACGAAAAAACTAAAACGGCTATAATCTATCGCGATAAAAATAAAAATAAACCTCCGATTATTCTCTACAATACAGACAATAATACTCATTGTATTCCCGGTACTAAATCTACAAAGCCATCATTCAAAATACTAAACAATTATATTGAAATAAACGATATTACACCATTAGAAGAAATAATTACAAAAATAAAACACCAATACAAGCTTGTAAGCAAATCTAATATTATAGATTACGAATTAAAAAACATTGAACAGATTCAAATTAAAAAGGCGCATAACAATTATAAGTCGATCATCACTAACTCTAACCTAATAAACAACAAAGAAATACTATATGTCAATGAAAACACTCCAATTAACATATTCCATGAACTAAATCTATCACAGCACAAACAGGCAATACAATTATTAAAAAAATACTTACATTTATTTATATCAGACGCATCTAATATAAAATCAAAAATTTGAAAACCATGCGAGATAAAAATGAAACCAAACTGCAGAGACCCAACATTTTATGCCCTCCAAAGAGTATCTCCACGACAAAGAGACGAGCTCAAAATACAATTAGATAAATTAAATAAAGCCGACATTATTCGTCCAATAATATCTAAATTTGCAGCGCCAGTCTTTTTAGTCAAGAAAAAGGAAAAGGGTTCATAATGATTAGTAGTATCCTACAAAGAACTGAACGAAAGAGTTGAGACAGACCAATATCCCATACCTAGAACCTCTGACCTACTAAGAGCTTTAGAGGGAGCTACATATTTTAACTCTTTACATCTAAATAGTGGTTTTATCCAACTTCCTGTTAAAGAGGAAGACTAACATAAGTTAGCTTTTACATCAGTTCATGGGCTAATGACCTTTACCAGATTACCTCAAGGTTTCAAAAATAGTAGTGCTATTTTTCAAAGAACTTTAAATGAAGCTTTGTCTGCACTATTATACAAATCTATAGTTATTTACATTGACGATATCGCCTCTTACGGAAAAGAAGCACTTGTAAATTTGGAAAAAGCGTTTAAAATAATTGATTTATTAAACTTTTCTCTAAAAACATCTAAATGCCATTTTTTCAACAACAAAATACAATTACTTGGTCACGTAATATCTCGAGACGGTACAAAACCCATTGATACTGACACAAAAGCAATTACTGAATTTAAACAACCGAAAACTTAGAAAGGTGTTAGGTCATTTATAGGTATGTGTTCATACTACAGAAAACACGTAAAAGATTTTGCGAAAATAGCTCACCCACTCACTGAAATGACTTAGGGGGGCACTAAAAAAATTATATGGAACGATGAACATGAACAACCTTTTAATCAGCTAAAACACATTTTAATTTCTAAACCAGTATTAAACCATTTTAATGACGAAAGGGAAGTTTACCTAACTGTAGACGTTTCATTATTAGAAGTAGGCGCTTGCCTTGAACAATACGATGACAAAAATATACTAAATCCAATTGGGTATGCTTCTAGGAAATTATTAAACAACGAAAAAACCTACTTATCAACAACATCAGAACTATTAGGACTATGTTTTGGCATTACGTATTTTCGAGAATATATATGGGGAAGGCACTTTATTGTTTTTTGTAATAATATCAGTCTACAATACTATGTGAGTTTAAAAATAACATCGTCCCGACTATCTCGGTCGGAAGAGCACGAGACTCTTAATCTCGGGGTCGTGGATTCGAGCCCCACGTTGGGCGCCACTTTGTAATAAAGTGAATAATGCGGTACAAAGTAATTGAATGTACACTCAATAACCACTTAGATTACTTATTACAGCCTACGACGGTAGAAGACAATTAATATAAAATGTAAACTATGAAATGTAACAATAATATTCTTACCTATCCTGAACGGAATATCCTCAGCAACAATGTTGATTTTGAACACAGGTATGATTATATTTATTTATTATGTTAATGAGAATAGGTAGTAGGAATGATAAAATAAACACTTGATTTAGTTAAAAATGATGATGTCAGAATGTTAGACGACGGGACAACACGCACTCGCGGGAAGACGAGTCGCCACGGCAGGATCCGGCCGCCGAATGAGCCGAGGAGTGTTTTATGAGAAAAAAAAGGGGGAAGTGTTGAGTGCTGTTGTTTGAAATATTTAACTGTTATACGTACTATTTTGTATTAAATCTAAATTCATTTACAAACTGATAAAATAAAGTGGTGTCCACTATAATAAAATGTACTATAGATAATACTAATGTTGTATAATATTATATTATGATATAACTAGTTGATCAATATTAAAATTATGATATATACCATATTGTATATATCATTACACATAATTTTATAATGTGTATGGATAAAAATATCACCTCTTTTTCTTCAGCTGTTTTGTAACCGTATCCACCGATAGGATCATTACTAATGTAAAATGGATGGTATTTTGCTGGTATTTCTGGATCTAATCCTCCTTCCACAACAAATGTGTACGTTTGTCCTCGGACAACGTTTATTTCTGGTATGAGTAATCCGTTTATGTACCAAGAAATTCCCCATCCAACATGTCCTATACAAATTAAATAAATCTTAGTTTGTTTAAAACCCATATATATATATATATATTTCCTATTAGGTACCTACATTCAATTAATTATTTGGATAACAAGTAATAATTAATAAATAAAAATTTACCTGTAATAGCAGAATATCCGTGTTTTCCTCCAGTGGGACCCATTTGAGCGTAGAAAACTCCATCATCTGGTTCGTAGCATTGAATAGGGGGAATCTCCCATGCAACATTTTTCTCTACTGGAGCGGGTTTAGGAACAGGACGAGGACGAATTTTCTTAGTGGGCGTAACCTGACAAATTAATTCGTAATAATAAGTTTAAAATTTAAAAAAAAAATCGTCTATAAACCTCTTTAATTGAACTTTGGGTAGTTGTAATAATATCTTGTACACTTTGTACAGTTGTAACTTCATTATGAATAGCAATTGCTTTAGCATCAGTGTCTGGTATTGGACAGTTCCATTCTGGTAAACGGCCAAAATTAATTTTTATTGTTTCTGAAATCACATGTGTCAAACAAATTATATAAATTAGTATAACAAATAGTAGTCCTTGTAATTAAATATTTCAATTATGAATACATAATAATTAAAATTATAAGTTATAGTTTATAGATTATCAAATAAATACCTTTATTATTGTATAAATATACGTATTATCGTATTGGTACCTACGCATTGAAAAATAATTATAGGCAGTGCCTGATTTAAAAAAATAGAAGTCTTGTGCACTACTTACTTTGGGGCTCTATTTGAATTAAAAAAGAAATCGGTAAAAATTAAAAAGAAAGAAAATATAAATTTAAGAGGTATATTATATATTAAATACCTTAAATTATATCAATTTTGTATCAGTAAATCACAAACTTTTTTTTAAAAGTTAATTTCTATAAGCATTTTTTTGTTGTAATTTTTTTTGCGAATTCAGCAATAATGTTTTCAAACTATTGATTGCTGGCAACGATAAAGAATTTATTCAATTCTCTTTTAACTAAAGAAAAACCTATCGAGTTTCATACGTTTAAGTGCAAAATATAATAAATACATAATAAATGAAAAATATAATTAAATTAAAAAAATGTTAATATTCTGATAGGGACAAAATAATTACTTACTTATTAAATACTTATCAATCGTATACCTACCAAAAATATAAAGTATCTATACTATAAAATATAAAAGTGTACTATTTTTTTTATACAGTGGAAAGGGGCTCTCGGAATCTGGGGGCCCTGTGTTTGTGCACCACGTGCACATGCGTAAATCAAGGTCTTCATTATAGGTAGTGCCTACCACGTTAACACTTTTCCAATATAAATTAAATTTTACAATATGGACAACAAAGAAAAAAAAATATGATATAGGTAGATAATAATAATAATGCAGAATCATAAAATATAAAATAAGCTACACAGTAATTTTATATATATAACAAATAATGGTATAGGGCATAACACTGGCTGCATCAGCGTAAAAATGTATTTATTTCGGATTATTGTGTTTTTTAACTAAAAATACAAATACTCAATATAAAATTAAAAAAATAAATGTGATAAATTGAACTTAAACATGTTTAATAATAAATTACAGTGACGTACCCATGATTTTCCAATGGGAGAGGGATATATATTAAATAATATTTATATATATAGTAGGCACCTAATAATATAATCCATCCAAATTACGAGTATAAATTACATTGAATATTAAGTCTTTTAGAATCTAAATGGAGCCAAGAAGCTTATGGTTTTACAAAGATTATTTTTTTCCTGTGGACAACTTTTCTATTAGCAATTTTGCTCCAATTTATAGTGAGAGCAATGTTTCTTAAAGGAGATTTGACGGGGGAAGTATTTTACAGAGGCTATTTTTCGATTTTCTAAAGAGTTTTCCCAACAAAAGCGAAAAGCCAGAAAAAAATATGGGAAAATCGAGAAAAACGTAGGAAAAACATACATTTAACAAATATTATTAAAGATAATATATAATGCCTATTTAATTATTTTACCATATTATAATATATATATGTATATATATATATATATATTGTTGACAAAGCTCAAAATCATTTTTTCGTTAACAATGATTAATCGTTGATAAAATACACACATTAATTTACCTATAACAGTGGCTACACCCGTCCTTAAGATGTCTTTTATTAGGTTATTTGCAAAATACATATTTTTGTAGTACAATTACAATTATTTGAAATTGGTTGAGTAATAACTAATAATTGTAATTAATGTGTAATCGGTGAGGTAGACTGTGTAAGATTCGGCCTACCATAGTATTATCACTGTTCGAGAGATTACAGCTGTTTCGGTTCGGTCGAATTTTATTAATTTAAAACTACAAAATAAATTACAATTCGTGTTTTTATTTTTTACGACAAATATTATACAAATTTAAACTTAAATTCATATAAAAATAAACATTTTGCTTTACCACTTAGTACAACTTGTGATGAACCTCGTTTAGAATTGTTTAGTATTTATATGAACCAAATAAATTTTGTACACATATAACCAAAGAAGTTTTTGAAAATTGTAAAAAGTTATAAAACTGTTAATATTATAAAGAGTTAAAGTTGTATTTAGTAGGTAAAAATAATTTTAATTTAAAATTGTTCAAATTATATACGGAATAGTAGTTTATTGTTAAAATAATAGTATTCTATGATTGTTTTTATCAGCCTGATAGTATCTTTTATTTAAAATTAACAATAGTTATAAATAGGTACATAACTTTGTTGAAAATATGGTATATCAGTATATTATGATTATGATTTGGTCAATTGGTACTCATATACATTGTATATTTAAATATTCATAAAATATTTTAAAGTTCATTAAGTAGGTACCGTACCGGTAGGTATATCCTAAAATTAATTTAAATACCTTTCGAGAACACCGGATGGTATGAAACTTCGTGTTTGTCATTCAAAGGACCGATTGCCCAAATTATTGGCTGGCTGTTGTTGACTAATATGGGTAAGTCAAGATTATCTTTCGATTTTAACGGCCTCTGATACGTGACTATCGAATATCCATTAACTATGGCAGCGTTTAATAAACGAACACTTTCACCGGCTGGGCCCTAGAAAGCATTAATAAGTATTTTTAGTTCTTAATGTCAAAAAGTATAATTATCTCATTGTATTTATAAATTCTAATAATTGTATCAATTAATGATACTTGACAAGACGATTATGATTACAATATGATTTTTATTATTTAAATTATATACATTGTGTACTATTAAAAAGTACTTATATATTATTTGTGTTGGTACCTGGATATTGGAATCGGGGCAACTGCCGCTGACTTGTCCACTGTCTTGTTGTATAATACATTGTGATTTATCCAGCAAATAGTAATCTTGAGCAAAGCCACTGATTGTGGTTTGGTCCACCCCAGCTACAACTACATCACCTCCGATCATACGATTTGAAGTAGGCGAACCAGATATACCAAAAGACATATACTGGTTAGCTTCTGAAAATCGAAACGATTTTTGAAATGCGTTAGAATTGAATAAAAGAAACCCAGATGAGTTTCAGATGATGTAATATTGGATAGTAATATTATCAGTCGGGAAGAAAAAGAGATATTTATATAAATGTATACAAAAACATGACAGTCCCGTTTACTTTACTACTTTATATAGGATATAAGGTAAAACAAATATTGCTGATGATATTTTTTCCCTTAGCACTTACATTTCTGGTTGCTCTGAATATAGTTCGAAAATAATTATTTTCATTTCTGAATTAATATTTATATTACTACAACTAATATAACTATGAACTAATAAATTAGAAATAAGTAATTATAATTTACGTTGTTACATGATTTGTACGATATCTACCTTATGTTACACATTTATTTTATATATATATATATATATAGGTAATAGGTATATTATACATATCGGTAACACGAGAAGACAATATATCAATACTAATAAATACTACACATTTTGTAAACATTTTATCTTGAGAAAGTAAATTATTAATTTTTTTTTAATAACATAAAATCACAGATAGTTATCTATAAATGTGATAAATTTACGTCAAAACAAATAATTATTATTTGTAAGTTCGAAATTCATTTAAAATATAAATGTACAATAAATAAGTGACGGTTGATTATCGTATTTACCTACTAAAAATAACTAAAATATGTATGTGCACATCTCTTCTGTTGAATTAATTTTACATAATATTGTTACCTAATGAATGGAAAAACAATACGACAAGTGTATTATAGGTACGTGAGAATCGGCTACAACACATTTGGACATTTTCCCCCGAATTGTGACACGTTATTGGTGCACAAAATCGTAATACGTTTGGACACTATTTTATTCTGATGTTATAACACGTTTAGGCATTATAGTAAAGAAAGGTATTCCCTATATTGGTAATAAATATATTTCTATTATATACGTATACCTTTTGCTCAAGTGCACTTTTATTAAAGTGCACTTTAATAATAAACGCATATACGCATTATTATATTAGGGCTGTGAGACGGGACTTGCTACGATAATAAAATTTCTCCCAGAGGATTGCGATAAAGTGCTATATCACAGTTGAAAATATCGAAAATTCTTCAGTAATTTCCAGTAATTAATTTTTAAGTTTTTCATTTATCTTACACTGTAATCAGTCTTGTCGAGTGTTACACAGTGCGGAGTGCGCGTCTTAAGAAACTTTAAAAAAACGCATTAATTATATTTTAACAATGAACTCCATGAACGGTCTATGATGGTTAAAATGATTTATTTTTTTATTCTAATATTCTATTATTTATTATCATATAAATTTGTATTTCATATTATAATTATTATTATTTTATGCTTTTTTTCCATTTTAATGCCCAAACATGGTATTGGTAACATGGTATCTATTTAGCGAACCGAGTGTTCAAACGTTGTGTGAATTTTGAATATAAACAAGTAAAAATGCCCACTCGTGCTGCCTTCGGAGGGAGAGGGTGGATGAGACATAATTGCAATAACAATTCGTGATGTGTCAAGATTGTGCAAGGTAATATTAGATAAACGATATAAATTTAGCGTTCAAAACCGTGATCAAAATTGTTATAATATAGTTTAAACCTTGAAAATCTTTCTCAGTGCCTGTACAAAAATCAAAAATGATTATAGTTTACATAGTTTTGAACAATTAAAATTGAAAACGTTAGGTTATTATTATTACAACAGTAAAAATGGTCTATTAAATTTGATGTATTTCTGTAGTAATTTCTGTTTGTTAATTTGTTTTTTTTCTTTTAAAAATAATTACCTATTTGTTAAATCATAATTTTTTTGGAATTCGTTTGGAACAGATTAATATCTTTTTAAATGCTTTTTTATCCCAGCATCATATTTTCTTTACAAAGAATATAATAAATCATTTATTCACAAAGAATTTGATAAACAATATTTTAAAAATATGCAAGTCATAAATAAAAATATCTTAAAATTTAATTTTGTTCAATGTAGGTATCTATAATAATATAACAACCATAAAAAGAAAACCCCTAAGAAAACAATTTACTTAAAATAGTTTTGTTCAATTTTATGTTAACTATAAGTTATAATAATAACTTCATAGATATGATGGTTTGAATTGGATATTGTTGAAATAATATTATCCATCATATTTTCGTTGAATTGCTTATTTGCTAACGTAATTTAATATTATAAAATATTGTAAATTAAATGCGCGTTTTTGTAAGTAATATTTGAAACCTAACTATATTTTATATTTGTGTAATATTTACAAATATTAGTTATTTAAAAAAAAAAAAAACATATTTCTTACCTAACTTAGCCACCAATTGAACTACAATGCTATCACCTGCTATGGCCCATCGTACTTCGTATCCTAAAGGTTCGTGGAGTACTTCGCAGTTTAATTTCGACTGAAAATAAAAAAAATATATAAATATAGTTAAAATATATATAAAAATAGTATTTAAAATTATTCATTTAAATTTATTACACTGGACTAATGTACTCGTAAATACAATAATAATCTTTAAAAAAAATCGTGCTATGTAAGACACCTTAACATTATCTTACGTAATGTGAGATGTTTGTGTTATAATTTTAATGGTAATATGGTACGGATATGTAGTACGGCAAAATATTTTCTTGTGATATAATAATCGTCTAAAGTTCTATATCGGCAGTTCTCAAACTGTGGTACGCCACGTGGTGGTAGTACGGACAATTATTAAATACGTCATATTATTTTTAAATAAAATATGTAAAATATTGTTTTACATTTTGTTTGAATACTGAAATACAGTAAAATGCAAATTATTATTATTATTATTTTTGTACATTGTTATTATTGTTATCCCGATCCCCGAGAAATGTATCAATTAATTCGTAATCGTCGATTCGCGCAGCTCACCGACTCCAATATAATTTCTGATTATTTTGTATGGCTACTAAATATTATCTCTTCGGTGTTTTGGGACAGAACGTATGCTATAATAATTGAATTATAATACAAAGTTATAACTTACGCGTAAAACTATTGATTATATTATATAGTAATATTAGCGAACAATATTATAATACAGGTTTAGTATATTATATTTAATCTATGGTAAATTTACGGAATTGTACGTAATAGTGTTTAATAATTGATAACGCTATCACAATTATTGAAAAAACAAAATATAATATATTGATAACAAAATCTTGATATATTTTTTTCTCGTCGTGTTTTTCAAATTACTGTATATTATTATTAGCTTTTACTTACTATAACATATTAACATATTAACGATTAAGGACATACATTTAATTTGATGAAATTAATAACAATTTATACTTAGTCAATAAATATGAAAAATATGTCATCTGATAAATCTAACCTTATTAAGTTTAGTTATTTGGAATGAGAATTTTTGTCCGAAATTTAATGTCAATGGGTGGACCATAATGTACAGTGTACCGCATGACCGTATTTTTAGTGACTGATCCATAGTATACATGATTACATGAGTAACAGACGAAAATAAAAGTTTGAGAACCTCTAGTTTCAATACATTAAATATGATTAAATATATTTTTTCTCCCATAATATTGTAGGTACTCTTTTTAATATTATATAGGTGTTATAATATAATATATCTACTTTAATGAATATAATATGTCCTAAGTTTTTGAGACCTATATAGATAGTTTATAATGCTAATAAGTAATAAGAAAAAAAAAATGTTAGCAGTATGATTTTACGATCGTTATAAACCTGAAACATTAATCGCACTAAAGGTGGATAGTTGCCGAGTGCAAAAAAGAAACTTAAATTTTGACAGAGAATTTATAGGTGATTTGCTTGTCTTTATGGTTTTTTTAATATTTTCAGCGTTTCGTACATCGTAGATGTTCAAATTACGGTTCTAAGGGAAGATACATAATTTACCTGCTCACCAAATTGCGTTAGTGATTATGTGTTAATTTTCAGAGCTTGGTTTTTTGAAAATTCAAAATAGAATAAACAAGTAATAATTTATTGTAAATACTGTCGATACTGAGTCCGATCATTTTATTTTTTATAAATCGTCATCATATACGTTTTTAAAGACAAGACATCTTGCTCGTCATCTTTAATCGTCTGTCATAGTATCATCCATCGTATTTTATTATTAGGTATAGTTATTATTGTTATTTGTATAATAATAATAAATATTATTATTATTTTTATCATTAAATATAATAATAAATAAAAAAAAAAAATAAACAATAAACAATAACAATTTAAAATTGTACATTTGAAATGTGTTCGACAACAAAAAGCGGTTTTTATAATAATTTTATTTCCAGCCATGATATTAATATAGGGTAAGAATTTGTTAATTTATCTTAAATATGTACCCAAACACCTATTTCGTATATAAATATAATATTGAACACCGAACAAAATGTGTTTACACGCGTAGAGATTAAGGACTTAGAATGACTATTGCACTTTTAAATTTTAAATATCTCTTTCTAGATATATTAACTAGCATATGCTAGCGTATTTTAAGCTAGTTAAAAATAAAAAAAATATCTAGTTTAATTAGCTTCAATATAACGGGCGGACGCTATTAAAAAGAAAACGTGAAGAAAGTATCACGCGTACTTTAATAAATTACTTAAATTTCTTAACCGCGTTTATGATATTCGATACTCCGTGATAGGTACTTGAATCAAGTATAAATAACAAGAAAACGGAGAAATAAACGAGTAAAAAGACGTCAATGATTTTTGTCGCCATATACAGTAACCAAAAGAAACCAGAAATCAATTCGAAATTTAAGTGTGAGCCTCACGCTACAGTAATTGAAATTTAATACATGTAGGGTCATGTTATTCGTAGCGTTTTAATAAGGAATCAATTATATAACAAAATAGGCGATACCAAACATTTAGAATTTGATACTCGATACTCTATGGTCTATACCAATATACCAGTATTCAATTCTCGATATCTTAGTTTAAAAATAAAAGTAAAATACTAGTATAAAAAGATGCCCTAGGATAATGGGGACGGATGCAGCTACTGCTATAGATAATTTAATGTATATTTGTAAGCAAAATTAAACCATTGCTTACGAAAAAAACGATTCTGAGCGAAGTTCAGTTGATAGTGATGCTTTGTCAACAACATATATGTCATTTACAGTAAAATAATTAAATAGACTTTATATATTTTCTTTAATAATATTTGTTTTATGTTGTACCAATTTTTCTAGATTTCCTACGTTTTTCCCATGTTTTATCCCGGTTATTCACATTTTTTGGAAAAATTCTTAGGAAAATCAAAAAATGATCTTCTTAAAGTACCTCCTCACATCGATTATATTTCAAAAAAGGTGCTACATATAAAAATCCGAGCCAGTCTTCTGGTAGAAAAGTTACGCACAGATAAAAAAAAAAAAATAAAAAAAAAAAAAAGTAAACACCTTTATAAAACTATAAGCTTCTTCGCTCCACTCAGAGTCTAAAATATTAATTGTGAATATTATTCGTATTATTGTAATTACGTTTTTTTTTTGTAAGAACGTTATTCAGATGTAAAAACACATTATAAAAATAAAATATTTAATTAAATACTAATTTAATCTAATCTATGTGACCCACAGATAATAAAGTAATGAATAGCTGGATATGGATTAAAATTTTTGGTTCTTGAACGATAAGAAATTCATGCGCTTTTTTTTCTTTTCATGACAAAAATTTTTGAGTTTCATTTTTTTAAAATTCAAATTTTACAGTATAGTTATTCAGTTATTTCAAATAATTTCGTTGACAATGTAAATACTATGATTTTAGCACAAAACAAATTCTATGATTTTAGGAAAGCGTAAGTTAGGTGGTATAGTAAGGTATAGTGGGAGCGGATGTATGACAATATTGGTTTTATAATAATTATCAAATTAATTGTAGAATTTTGAACAATTGGCTTCACTTCACATCATTCCGGAGACCAAGCCTCTTTTGAGATTAGTATGGTCCTATCCATTAGATTAGATAGATTTGTCTCCTCCCTTGAACTTTTTAGTGTCTATTATTTAAATGATTTTTTTATAATTTAAATTCTAATTTTTTTTACTTTTTAGTCCGGTAAAGAGATAATTTATGAATCGGTATCTTTAGTTAATATACCTAATAGGTAAAAAAAAAAAACGGAACGTGTTCATTAAAACGAAACCTATCCGGACCACTATATAGTATACGTACCTATTAGGTTAGTTTAGTTCCTAAATAGCGAATAAAGTGAATAATTACTGTGTTACCTAGTCGTATAATTTCATGATTACAATAATATATGGATTAAAAATAGATATTTTTTTTAGTCTGGCTACACCATACGTTAAGTATACGATATGACAAAATTTCCGGATTCAATATTTCTATCCATGGACAGATCCTAAATACGCCACTGATCCGTGATTCGACGACGACCTCACTTATAATTTTAACATCGAAAATATATCAATACCGAAAATCGCCTACATTTCGAATCGCCCGTCCTAATAATAAATCCTGAGTCTCCGGGACGTGGTCGGGACTGCGTAACGGAGAACGGCCACCGTAACGAAAAATCGTGAGTCCGTAATATCTGATTTTTTTTTGAAAAAAAACTAATTTATTGTCGGCCAATCTCTTATTGTCCAGATAGTTTGTCGTAAGTTCATTTTGTCCACAAATTCGTTGAGAGTAACCGGTGACTATTATTTCCCTTAAAAATTGGAATCGGTTACAAAAAAAAAATGAAATTCGTTTGGTTATCACACTAAATCACACTGGTTATAAATCGGTCACATAATATTATGACCATTTCGGGTAGACGGTGACGATCGGTGATTTTTCATCATCGCCTCCAGGATCATCATTATTTCTCCTCGTCGAACCGTCAGCGCGGCGTCTAGCCGTTTGAGTTGTTGTTGCTTTCGTTGTACATCGTTGACTATCGCACAAAACGAGTCGTCTTTTTAATATTATATTTGCGACAATAGGAGGGGATGAGTTATCTGTATAAAGGATGCGAGTTAAAACGAATATCATCTTCACCGTTTTCACCGCCTCATCGGTTAAGTATACTATGCGTTATTATTGTATAACCGCACCAAAACGGTTTACTATCAATTTGTGACCGGTGGACTCACAACGAATTTGTGGTATTTTTACCGTGGCGCAGGGTATTCCGGCACAGACGGCGGCGGCGGCGGCGGATTTTCGTTTTATTTCTTCCGTTTTATCGAACGCGTTCGTTATTGCACGCGTCCCACGTGTCGGCGCGTGACCGACGGAGAAGGCGGAGAGAAGGTTCGTTATGGTTATTTTTTTTTTTTTCTCTCTTCAAACCTTCACCGCAATGTTCTCTCCGCGGCGGGTCGTCCGCCGCCGCATTGTGCAACGCCTAATCGTATAACAATAACAGTAATAATAAATATCGCTCGACTACGTAACGATAGTATTAATATAATAATCGCCGTTCGATTCGAACAACGCGATTAACGATGTTTTTCGAAAACGACGACGGCAATACCGAAACGTAGTGGGCGCGAGCGACGCGGAAAACCGTACGCACCGAACGCGACGACGGTCGGACGGTACTGGAGGAACTGGTACTGCTGGTAACGGGTGACGGGGGAGGGGGGAAGCAAAGGAATAGCGGGTTCTATTATTGTGTGCAATACGAAATCCGAAGTGAAATTATATTGAATGCGTGTGAGATGACTAAAGGTTAATTTAGAGAAATTATTCCGGCGGTTAAAAAAAAAAAAAAATCCCGGTAAAACATCAGTGGCTAAGGCGTGATGAAATTTCTATACTCGTGAGGCCGACTTTATTCGGGTGTCGGGACACCCGACAACAATATACGTAATACCATTTTTTGTGGCCATACGGTACATATATTTCAGCGGATGGGGGTACAATGTAAAATTTTTCCCAATAAGATTCAGCCTTGATTTTCGAGAGTTTTTGGGCCCTAGCAGAAGCAAAAATCTCTTATATTATTCTTTAGCTTCTGGGAAATGTACTGTAAACTTCATAAAATTGTAAAACCGTTTAGGATAGTTTATATTGTTTTTGATACATAGGTAATAAATCATTTATTATTTTGTTGAGATGTTTTTAACCATAACAATATTCTAGATCTGAGATTTTTCAAAGTTACCCGATAGACGACACTAATAGTTCAGCTTTATTAAAAAATATAGCAAATCATAATATAATATTATAATAATCTAACATCGATCTTCCGTTGTTTTTTAATATTATCAACCCTAGCCCACGATTTTCACTCGTTCAGCAGCGCCAAAAATAGTGCGTGTTTTAGAGCACAAAATGTGCGGTACAAAAATTTAAGTGTGCAAATCAAAACTTCTGTGTGTTGTATAACAAACATATTGTGTTATTTTATGAAAGGGCGCTAAAGGAGCGGCGGCTCAGGGCGTTAAAATTATAAATAATCCGAGAAAATAGTAGTAAGTATTTAATTACTGACAGTGGCGTGGATTTCAGTTACTGGGTAATTTTTAATTTGTCTTTTTCCTTTTATTATTGTAATTGTTCTATTTGAGTTACCAATTCGTATATCAGGTATTATATATTATAAAATACGGTATTATCTATATATTATATTATAATATGACTAGATATTTTTTTTTTTTTATAAACTTGGGACATAAAAATTGGTGTAGCGTTAATCAAAAACTTCGAGAGAGACCTTATTTTTTTACTCATTTACTTTTTTCCGGTACAATTTAATGAACCCCTAGGGAGGGCTACAAATCACAACGATAGGGAGCTTAGATCCGAGCCCTCTAAATAATACGCCTATGCTCAGCTCGGCCGAGCAAGTTGTGTGGTCGTGAAAAAATGGGACGGCGAGATCATTAGTGAGGAAAATCGAAAATTTCAAATAAAATAAAACAATTATAAAAAAACAGATTTGTGATCTTAAAATAAATATGTAACTTTATACTTTATATACCTCAAAAACAATAATGTCTCTCTACAAAATGTTATTGATAAAATAGATAATTGTTTAATTGTTTGCTATTGAAAAATATAATAATTGATAACCGATAAGGATAATGGATAAATGCAGTCGTATAATAAATGTAGATAATCTTTAATATAAATATTATATTTCACTCTTTGTATTTATATAAAATATCGTATTGGAATTATGAAATCGGGGACAAAAGTGGGGGACGTTTAATGAAAATATGTAGGCAAATTTTATCGTCCCGCGTCCTAGACTTACAAATTTTACTGGACGCCCATTAAAAAATACTGTACCGTCCCGTCTAAAAGTCAGGGCGGCCTGGTCACATTGTTAATGTACCAACAGACAACGGGTTCGTATAATCGTCGGAAATAAGTATTGCAAGTACGGGACAGCGGGGGAAAGGAAAGCGCGGCCGCCGTGCCGCGGGGAAAGGTGTTTTGCGCCGTATCCGAGACAATAGTTCACGCGGACGCGGTGTATAATAACAATAATAATTGGTCGCAAAGGTCACACACGACGGCGGCGATGCGTTACGTAAAGACCGCGACGCCACGACGGCGACGGGGTTAGTCGGGCGCGTGCGAACACGCGTAGGAGTTACAGAGAATTTACGACGGGACGGGCGGGAAGAATCGTATGCGTCGCCGCGCAGTAACCGGTCCGCGTCGTCGTCGTGCGCGACGGAAACTGAAAGAAGATGCGTTGCGTAATGACAGAACATTGTTCGCCGTTGTTCGACGCCGTCGCCGCCGCTGTCCGAATATAATAGGTGCCCCCCCCCCGACGCGAGAAGTAGGCGACCTGCACATCGTTCCGCGTTGTTGTTGTTATTATTGTTGTTGTGTTGTTAGTGTCGGCGTTATTATGTACGCGGCGCACGGTTAATGTACCTACCACGATTGCGCGCGTGACGATTGTTGTCGCAGTAAACTTTTAAATTTATTGCGCTGGACGGCCGCGGTTGTCGCGTACTTTATTGTTGTTGTTGTTGAGTCGGACGCGGCACGTTCCCTCTGTTAATTATTTTGAAAACGGATCGACCGGCGAGGCTGCAGCGACGGCGCCGTACTTTACGGGTCGCCGATTCGCTACGGTCGGCCGTGCCGAGATACGCGTACACTGAACTACACCGCGCCTGTACCGGTTGGCGGCGGCCTATCTGTCATACCGTTTACGGGAAACAAACTCCAATGATTTCAGATCCGTAAATAAACCGTTCCTTTAATCCTTATAAGCCAGTCGACAAGTAGTATTTTACAGTAAACCACGCGCAGCTATTTTGATAATAATTTATAGCGAGTCGAGTAGTATTATATCAGGGGGTGGCCAACTTACGGCTCGCGTCCTATTTACAAAAACCAACATTTACTTACTATTATTATGAATTTTAATTTTTTTTTCGTATACATTTATATAAAAAAAAAATTTGTTTTTTTATTATATAGATATAATAAGGCTATAGAATACAAATTAACAAACAAAACATACATTTAATAAATTAATACGAATAATAAATTAAATAAAATAAAATAAACGTTAAGCTAAATTTGTTTGCGTGGTATTTTTTTTCGTGTCTACTTTTTTAGTAAGCTTCGTACGATCTGGGGTTGCACTGATGCATGAGCAATTATCAGTAATCAGTCTGTGAGATGACCGTCTGTAAAATTTGAACGATATTTCTACTAAATTATTGTCATTGTTGAATAAAGCGATTCACGCGAATATGTCGTTCCAAAAATTGATATCAATAATATTGAAATAATACGTAATTTGACAGTATGTTTATAGGCTGTTAGCTATCTGTGTTAGCTATTCGTGTTACAAAAGTACAGATCAGACCAAATTATATGAAATTATAAAATGCGTTTGCGAATATTTTGGTCTCTTGATATCGTTGCATTTATGTACGTGGCTCGCGAACATGTTCATGTTGGCCACCTCTCTGTGTTATATCTATGATATGTTTTTATTGTGTAAAAAAAAACCTATTGCTTTTTAATACGGCCCGTTACGTGTATCATGTCGTATGATAATAATATTATCATGTGTATGTGTCGTCGGGTACCGAAATCCTAGTGGCAAAATATAATATACTTATATTATGGTAATGTTTGATAGGGGGGGGGGGCGGAAGTAAATATTTACGTTACCGATACCATAAATACATGTATTAAACTGTATTATATACGTAAACCGTCCAAGGATATAAAACAGTTTTCATCATAATACATAAATATAATAAATACGTTTATTTATGTATTAGTAAGTTAAATAATTTATTCGGGTCGTAATAACATTTGCCGGGCAGCACATAATTTACCCGGAAGAAATTGCTTATAAATTACTTATTATTATTATTATTATTTTTTTTTTCAGTATTTACTCGTGTATGAATATAAAAATATTACACTTAAAACCTTTTGAATAATGTTGTCCATACTTTTACGGCTATAGGTATACTCGTATTTAATAAAATATTTATTTCTATTACTGTATTGGTTTTACAATGATGTTTATTATTATTTTTTTTATCTGTGGACAACTATTTTAACAGCAATTTTACTTCGACTTTCAAATATAGCACTTTTTCCGAAAGAAAATCTGATTAGGGTAGTACTTTAGGGAGGCAATTTTTTGATTTCTCCAGTTGTTGTCATAATAAACGGGAAAAACCGGTAAAAACATGGGAATAACGTAGTAAAAACCCGAAAATTTACGAAATGTATTATGTTTTCAATTTTTTGTTTTTTGTTTTTATTCAGTTAAATACATTTGTAGAGACTCGAAGTTTGGACAGAAAACTTGTATTAGCTTTTCTAAACGTAGTAAAATTTTCAAAACAATTTTAAGCTATTAATTATAGACATTTAAATTGTACGGGTTTTTTTACGTAATTTTTGTTTGGTAGGTACTCTGTGGATAAAATCGTTAGATCAAATAGAAATGCTAGACAATTTAATAGGAGGTCCATTATGAATCGTAGTTTTTTTTTAAGAATTTTATTAGCAAAGTTTTGCGAAAACTGTTTTAATAAAAAAAAATTATTAACGAAAATATGTGATTATAATATGGTATATTGTTGAGAAAACAAAACTATTGACCGAACTCCGCTCAGAATCGTTTTTCATCAGCAATGGCTAATCGTTGCGTACAGATACACATTAAATTTCCCCATCTACTTTCTCAACTTATCGTCTACAACAGTGGCCCCCCCATCGTGCGATGTATGTCGGTTTTTTTTTTTATATTACGACGGCGAAGGAGAAAATGTAGTCTGCGATAGTGAACTGAACAATGCACAATGTTCACTCGACAACCAGATGAACACGCACAAAAGACAAAAATACACCGAGAACACGTTAATATCGTTGTACGTCTTTTAATATTTTTATGACAATGCGTTGCGTATACACTGTATAGGTTTATAAAATATTATAACGATTCGTAATTGTTTGGAAATGTTGCGTTATTATCCGGCACGGGTGTTGTCGGTATAGGTACTGTACAGCTTTGTTGGTGGGACGCGCGGAATGCTAGTCTCGACGTGTCCCGGATATCCCGAGAGATTAGGCGGCTAAGCGGCGGCGGTCGGTTTTCGGCGATGTTGTTGTTGTGATGGCGGTCGACCCGGAAGTCCGTGGTGTACCGGCTTATACGTGGTGGCCGCCGGTGGCTGTTGTTGGACCGCCGTCTCGGCGTCGGTGTTCGGGACAGCCGCGGTCTGCTTCGCCGGCAGTCCTGTCGCCGCGGCGGCGTCGGCCGGCGCCTTCGACTTCTGCAACACGGACAACGGGATGATGCGTTTCGAACAGCTATAGGTATGCGTAACGCTGGCAATCGAACGGCGTTCGTTGTGCGGTACGCCGGACGCCGGACGCCGGCCTGTGGTGACGTGCGGTTCGCGTGCATTTTTGCCGGGAACGTTCGCACGTTTTCCGTTTGCACGCGGCGGGATGACAAATCATCGATCGTCGGTTCGCCAAATCGAACGGACTGTTCGCCGCACGCGCAACTGGACGCGGTGCAGCGTACGATAATATACGAGAAACGCGATAAATCATTTCGGACGACGACGGGTCGGATATTATTTATATAATGTCGCGTATGTATAATTTTTTTTTTCTCTCTGTTATAATTAATTTATAATATTTTCGTTCACACGCACCCGTCAGCGATATTAGCGGTACGGCGTACACCGCGGAACGACGAGTCAAATTGAATTTCGCGTCCGTTCGGAAAACCTGTTGTTTTTTTTTTTTTTTCCTCACATTTTTATTTATTCGAAACGAAAATGTCACGGCTGTCGACGCGAGTCTGGTCGCGGTGTATGTTATTATCCCGTTATCGTTGAGTACATTTCAACGCGTCTCTGTGCGAGTGTAAAATATTTCCAGCGCCGTGTTCCCGGTACAGTTCTCGACGGCACGGGACGGTAGTAAAATAACGTGATAATAATCGGGAACAGATCGTATTACGGACACTTCGACGCCTAAACCCGATGCCGATGGGAATATCATTACAAAAGCCAAAGGCCTAAAGAATGTATTCGTTTCCTCGTTGCTTGGCCGAAATTTATACATTTCGAGATAAAATTAGACATTAAATAATTATTCGTATATCCGTTGTATTTTTAGGCCGACCATAGGGCTGGGATACAATCCCAAGCCACCCCCTTCTGCGTACGCCACTGATTATTTTACTTTTTTAAACTATCGAACTGTGTATCCGATAATAAATTATATTTATTCACGACACACACACACACATACATACGTATGTATGAATACGCGAGTATGTTGCGTAAAATGTTCAACAATTGTATTATACGTTACGTTTCTAATATCTGATTGTTTACGTAAATAATATTGACCCCTTGCCTTCAAAAATTCAACTAAACGACGGGTCCGTCGGAAGGCGATTTGTCGGGCACCGAAAATATTTGGATTGCATTTGGACATTGGGACACGATTATATTATCGCACCTACGTTATGGACACGCAATCCAGAGGCATACATTTAAATCGCGGCAATTAAGAACTGATATTGAAATATCAGTCGGAAAAATCGGTACAATTGAACGGTGGGTCCAACGGAAAATCACTTGATTACGTTGAATTTCAAAATAAGATCCGACAACAGAATATTATTGTCGAACCGTCGAGTTTCGGCGTGTTTATTACCGTTTTGATCGGACGTCGTTGAATTTCGGAAGACACTCTATAATACGCAATACATAGATATTTTCGGTTTTTACGTCTTATAATGTCGTTATGGATAGTAAACACATCGGGACAGGCAAGTGTACTAGGAGGAATTTTAAAGTTTCCACCCTCCCCCCAGAAATTTCATGAAAATTATCACGAAAGTAGATTTTTAATAGAGTCTCAAAAGTGGTTTCTATCAATGAGGAAGATAAATACAATTTTGATTTTATTTTTATTTTATTACTATAAATTAGGTGTTTATTTTTATTATTATCATTCCTATTTTTGTGGTTTTCCTGCTTTTAGAAAACTATAACTGATATGGTGATATTGCATAGTCCGCATTACCATCACAATCAAGCCGGGATTAATTCTATTGTCGGCCCTAGACACTAATAAGCACAAAAATGTGATTACAATTTTAAGAAATCTTAAACTAATCTTACTCCAAATTATATAAAATTAAATTATTAAAAATCATTAAAAATGACTTCTTTTATACCGATTTGCATATTTATTTATCCCTCCCCACCAATGGTGGCTCGAAGTATTTTTACATTGAGTCACCGATTTAATGTTCCACCCACCCACCTACCTATTCCAATAAATATTAATACAATTTTTCAAGTTTATAAAATGTCCGCAGACTAAAATTCTTTTAACACATTTTATTTAGTAAAAACTTAATATTTGTTGTCATATTTCTGAATACCCAGGCACCTAAGACCCACTCACCCGTTTTTTTTAATAATATTAACTTATAATCATTATAATAATAATAAAAAAAAAAATTATGTATTAAATATTACCAAATAATTGTAGTCATACATTTTCGTAGGCCCTAGGCATAGTGCTTATAGTACCTATGCGCCAATACGACCCTGATCATAATAAAATAAATTACGTTATCATTTAGGCTGTATTCATATGAAATGTAAAATTTAGTAATAGGTACTTGAAATGCTAAAAATAAATGTTATAAAACAGTTATTGTCATTTTAATGAAAAATAAATAATCCTATAATTAAAAGTATGCAAACTTCTTTGTTATAAGAGTATAAAAGTGTACAACCTCAACCGCTCCTCCCCCCCAAATTTATTTTCGTAAACGCACCTGCACCTGTACCATGTTACTACCGTAAAATCGTACAGTTCGCCGTGTACTGTTACGGTACTATCGTTCGTCGTACGGCGTATCTACCGATACAGACATTTACAGATTTTTATGATCCCGTGCACGTAACCGCTGCAGCCGCACGTACTCATCTAAAGTACGAAATTGCGTTCGTCGAACGAACGATTTGCCCGAATCGCGTGCGATAAATACAAAAAAAAAAAAATTCTATAGAAATCCAATGTGACTTACCTGCGGTAGTACGCCGAGCATTTTCAGGGACGGGGGAACGTTGAGTACGGACGGCACAGGCACGTGGCCGAAATCCACGGTAAAAGCCTCGCACCATACGCCGAAATGGCCGATGTCGAACACGGTCAGGTCGTCCGGTAACGTCAGCACGATGGTTTTGCGATCGTATCGACGGAGCGTTACTTCTTTTCCGTTTTCGTCCGCCACTCGGATACCCTGCGGAGTGGGTTTGTCGCCAGCACCGACCCAAAACTTGGCGTCTGTAAGCGAGCACAACGGTGTTCGGGTTATAACTTTATTTACATTGTCTGCGTGTATTTTATTTTATTTAGTTTTTATTTTTATTTTCTATATTTTTTTTTTTTAAAATAAAATAAAACGTAATTCATATTTCCAGTGACAAAAACAACTTTTCATAATAGGATTTCATATACTTGGCAACGGATGCTGCAGAAATACGCTTTCGAGTACAGACATTTGAAAAACGTATTCCTTCTCTTTTTATACGAAAAGTATTATATACACTCGAAACGTTTTAGCAAAACACGAAAGTTTTTTTTTTAAATATTTCTCTCGTAAATAGTCGGACAATAACAATTTTTTTATTTCTGTTTGAAAATGTATTTTAAACAAAAACTACGATCGTCATATTAATTGTGAACTGTTGTTCTTGCCTAGATTTTTGCGACAATTCGAAAAGGCTGAGGAGAGGAAGACACATTAAATTGTTTTTTAAACTGACTAGCGGAAAATATTATAATAAATTTAGTTGGGGCACGTCACTTTGTAAAAAAATAAATTGTATCAAAAGATTTTATTAGGCTACTCTATATGAATTGATAATTATCACCCGATGCGTGAAAGCAACTATTCTCTTTATTACTATATTAATTACTTTTAATGTTCAAAATTAATTACTCTGCGTCGGTGATTAAGTATACTTAGTGCGTATGTATTGAATTATTCATACTATATTACCTGGTGCTTCACCGTCGTAGGAAAATCCTGGGATCAACAAAGTTTGGGCATCCACTACGACTATGTTCTCCGAAGAAACTCCGTGAATTCCGGATAGGCTGTCGATTTTCTGAGGTTTCGGATAATCCAAATTATAAGGAATTTTTATGTCACCAAAGTTTACCTGAGAAAAAAAAAACACGAATCGAATTTGGAATTAGGACAAACCGAGTTGAGAATATATTGGTCACGCGGTTTTATTTCAATGAAACAATAAAAACTGCTGTTATAACGCAAAATGGTTAATAGTATTTGTATTTGAAAAAGAACCAACAGTAATACCATACAATAAATAATTTCGAAAATCGGTTTTACTGTTAGAAGATCGGTACTATTATTGTATTTGTGCTGCAGTGTGGGTTTTTGTTTCAAATTTATATTGATAATTTATTGTAATAATATATTATTAATACCGTTTAAAAACTTTATTGCCGTTTTATTGTAACAATTTCGTCGAGTATAGCTGGAAAATCGAAAGTATATCGACCGTTAAATATAAAACTCAACATACGAGCATTATTATACATATATATATATATATATATAATATACAAGTATGTTGTACTTGATATCGGTGTAATAATAATAATTTTAGAGCTAGTCGAATATAGCGGCGGCCGTCAGAAGGTCGAAGATAAAACGATTTGTTACATGCGGCTTTCTATACACGACCGACCATCTGTATACTCGATAAAAAAAAAAAAAAAAAAAAAAAAAATGACCGTATTATTAATAATATATAGTGATTTAATTTTGTTTATTACTTTTTCTTTTTCGTACATATATAATATAATACCGTGTGCAATCAGTTCTTCGATATTTGCTGGTCGTCGTCGAGAACGGCCCCGGAACGGCAGATTAAAAAAAAAAAAATGACCGAGAAAGCCCATTTAAACCAGCAGCTACGACCGGGTGTCGTAGTATAGTTTTCAAGTAGTTTTATTTTTTTCTTTCGGTTTGGTTTCATTAAGCACACACATAATATAATAATAATGTGTACACTCGTTCGTATGGGTACCTGCGTAGTATGAGTTAACCGCGGAGAAAGTGGTCGGGAACCGTCCGCTACCGTTATAGCTGCGATATTATTACACGTTTGCATAGTACGCTATTTATTAAAACCAAACGCCATACGTATGAATATATATAGATAATGTTATATGTTTTCATCACGATAATATGTGTATATTATATTATACAAATGTGTAGCACCACGAGATTTCTCTAATAAAATGATATTGGACACCTCTATACACGGTATATAGACGAACGTGTACACGTGTTTAAATGCGACTGTAGGTACAGCTATGTTTAGCAGCGGTTCTCAAACTAGTCAAAGTTTTTTGTTCGCGGAGTTATTATACTGATATTAACGCAATCTTAAGGAGCGCACAAAAATTAACCGGGATTCCAATATCATATTGTGTTTATCGTCAAATTCTTCGATATTTCCATCGACTGATTAGTTGGACTGAATGGAAAAGCCGATTTGAAAATTATTTGAATATCATGTGAGAAGAGAGTGTTGCTATTTATTATTAGACCAAGAAGCGAAAAACTTATGTGGCACTTAATAAGACCATATCATAACCTACAACACAGCGGAAGAAAGAATCAACGGGCGCAAAGGAATAGAAAGACCAAGGAGCTAGGATATTTATAGGATAGATGATTGAAATGGTATTCACAAAATAATGTGAAGACTGGCGTTAAAGTTCGAGTAATTTCCAGTCTATATTCGTTACGACAAGATCTAGCCTTTAGTAAGAGAATAAGGGACGAATAAATTCTATATATATATTCTTTAAAAAAAATTAATCTAGTTGTTTTAGGTTGAGAAGCAAACTCGGCCCCAATGTTTTACATTTTGAGTACAGCGAGGAATGTATTGGTTTTGTTATTATGCCGGTTTTTTCTTTTATGTAAACTATTTTTTTACCAGAAATTTTTCTTCAATTGAAAAATGACTAGAGTTGGTTTTTTGTAGTATTTTGGGTTTAGTCGGTGCATCGAAGAGGTCTTTTTTAATTTTCCAAGAAATGTTCATAATAATCGGGGAAATTAACGTCAAAAAAAAAAAAAAATTAAATTATTTTAAACTTTTTCGATTTTATTCTTCTATCAGAAATTTTGCTCCGAATTTCAAAAGTAAAATAATTTCTAAAATAAAATTTGGTCTAGTTACGGGTACGTTAGAATAAATATTTTTAATTCCGTGTAGTTTTATTAATAGTTGGCAAAACTCGTTAAAAAAAAGTAAGAAAAACGTGACAATTTACTGCACTAACGGATTTACTATTTCCGATTAAGTTATTTTATTGTAATTCGGTTAAAACAAATCGAATTTGGTACTTTTCCTTGAAAACTGTGTAAACTAAAAATTTTGTGAAAATGTCTGTCAAAAGATAACCTGCATATTTTTTAAATCAAACGAGTAAACGAAATTAATTAACATTCAGACGCGTTTCCGAGGTGCGCATTTTGAGAACCGCTGGTGTGTAGTATAATATTTCGTGTTAGTGTAAAATACATTATAAATGTTATAAAGCTCTTCCTGTCGGCGGTTATAAATTTATAATATTATAGGTGTACACTAAACTGGGCTGGCGTTGCCGGACTCGTTATTTTTTGTCTATATACCTACCCATATATAAATATAAGTATATAAAAACTCACCGAGAAGTCTTCGCACCAAACGTAAAACCACTTGATATCGTGCAGTGTCAAACCCTCGGGCAGAGTGATTGTCAAGTGTTCGTTCCTGTACCGTTTCAGCGGGTTGGATCTGCGACGAGGGAAGGGGGAAAAAGAAATAAGCGTATATTATAAAATAAAAAGGGTTTCCACGCCTCCTGTGGAATGCGTAGGTATAAAAATATTTTTTTCTTTGCAACATTATTATACTCACGATGCTTTCTCGTCACGAATCCTGTACCCGTTAACGCCGGGCTGTTTGTCATTGGAACCGTAAAAATATGCGGCTGAAAACGTATATACGTATATTGGTACGGTGTAAGCGTCATTATTATTACCGTGATTTATTGAAATTTATGATTACGTAATATTATTAAACATTTATCGTGATAATATCAGTGTACACATGTCGTGTGTGAATAATATAAATATTTTCAAGATACGAATATCCCGTACATATTTTACAGAAATGTGAATATGTCGGATGTTAAAATCGAATTGTGTACCCTATACACTGAAATTATATACTGTTGGTCCTTAGAGTTTTTCGTCAATTCATAAATGTGTTGTAACAGATAATGTATAGTTTGTGTGTATTTGCAGCGATAATGTATATTAGTTGAATTATTTACGGAAAGGAAAGTTAGAATTTTAAACTATTTCAATGGGTAATTGACAATATTAGGTTTTTTACTGTACAGTGTGTAGTAGACACTACGTGCCCATAAATTGGAAACCTTGGACATTGTCGAACTCGTAATTTGTTGTAATCATTGGATATTTGCATAATATGTTGTCAACTTGACATTCTCGGTTTCTGGAGTCGGAAATTAACTCAAAGTAATGTTCTAAATGTTATATCATGAATGCACAATATGTAGAAGGAATAAATAAATGAATAAATTCATGTATATTTTGAATTTAACTCGATTTAAAGAATTGAATAAATTTAATAATAGATATATATGTGGGTAGTTTCTAGTAATAGGCACAACGGTATCGTTACTATCGATCAAAGATAATTGTTTAACTTATTCGGAAGTGTTCCATTTCTAAAACTTTATATTACATAACAATAAACTATATTGTATTTTTGCGAAAAAAAAAAAATGTTTAGCTGAATATTACACTGGAGTTGTTCACAATTTGTATTTATTTTATTCTAATGATTACCTGGTCCTTCGCCGTCGTATACAAAATTCCTGATGTGCAATGTTCTAGCATCCACGGCATATACATCTCCGCCTAAACCATGGTGGTAGGATTTCAAAGGGCCTAGATATTTCCCATAATATTCTGCAGCGTTGGTCACGACTGAAATTTAAAAAAAAAACAATACAAAAATGGTCAGTGGATGTATGCGCTATGTATATTGTTATACACTGATGAACATTGCAGTATTATTATCAACGAGAGTGTATTAAATTAATTCAAACAATGTTCTTGGCAGAAATGGGATAAACATATTTACACAGATCATCCACTGTTGTAGGTTCAGACAGATAAAAAAAAAAAAAACAATGTATTCTTTTCCAAGAAAAAGGGTTTTATTAAATAACAACAAAAAAACCATAATTTTAATTAAACTCGACAATAGTTGATTCGATATTTTTACAATGTTACACAAATAATGAAAACCCTCTAATTAATTATTCAGAGAATTTTAATAGAGATTAATTAATCACAACTAGATAACCTCTTTATATTAAAATAATTTGCATTCGAAATTGCTACAAATATTTTATAGGTTCATATAAACAAATACATACTTGTTATGGAATAGTCAATTTTAAATTTGTTTAAGAATTATAATATAGTATTTATAAAATTATATTAGTTAAATTGATGATCGCAGAAACATTATGGGTTATAAATTTTAAGAAACTGATATATTAGTAAAAACACGTATTAGTCATGTGCTTCTATGCGTGGAGTATAAAAACGATTTTAATCATACTTTTTTTTTGATCTATAAAATTACAATTGAAAGATCTGAATTCAATTTTCAAAATTATTTGTATTATTCAGTTTTTGTCAATTTGCCAAAAGTTTTAAATAATTGACTTGTGATACTTTTGCAATCATCGATTCAGTTGATCTATATAATATAATTTTGTTAAAATAAAATTTGATTAGAGACGCAAATATTTGAATAGAAGTTAATATTTAAGTATACACAAATGAAATATCTGCTATGCAAGTTTATTGTTAGGTCTCTGCATTTATTGTATGCAGTCATTGGTTTCTTAGACGTAACATGTACGACACACGTGGTATTTTAATATCTGTCAATGATAGCAGTTCAAGGTTTTTTAGTAGTTTAATGTACACAATTAAAGTGAAAGTGTAAAAATTTAGAAAGGAGAGTTCAAACTTAATGAAAAAAAAAAAAATGCCATACATGCAAATGTCGTGGTATGTTGACTTGGATATACTGGCAGCGTGAACTATTTGTATATTGCTTTAACTGAAATACGAATACGCAATACACTAATGTATTTTGTCGGGAAGCCAATGGGTACAAATTGCTTATAAAACACACAAGTCAACGATTCATTGTTATTTTTTCGGTATAAAAATACGAGTTTCTCTTTTAAACAAGATTGAGAACTAACGAATGCTGCTCCGAATGTTTTATTATGATTAATTTGGTTATTTGTTTTATTTTATTGTTGTTGTTGTTGCTGCAGAAAACAATCAAATTATTTTTGGAATAATATTCAAAGTACCTATTAGCTGTGATATTATTTATGTGTATATTTTTAATTTTAGAACAAACAAGTTTATCCAACTGATTTTTTAGATAGGTTAATTCGGAGGTAATCATAATGGTATTCAAATAATAGATCGTGTTCGTTCGGACCTTGGTTGTTTTTATATATATATATATACATAAAAAAAAAAACCCTCGTCGAAATCAATGTACATTTATATTTATTTAAACGTATTGGTAAGCCTTTTTTTTTTTTTTTGTTGAACAATATCAATTTTGCAAACGGTCCACATTTCAAATAACAGGTCTTAATATTCGCAAGATATAATGATAATAACAATAATAATATGTTTCGGGTCAGGTCACACATAATAACAAAAAACAATTTACGTATATATATTATATAAAGTGAAAAAATAATTGCAAGATCGTAATCCGAAAAAACCGTATTACGGTCGGCCCAATAACCATGCGTATCGTCGTAATTTGTATTTGATGGTGTACCAATTATTATTATTATTATTATTATTATTATAATTCGTATGAGCACACCGTATAATATATGCACGTACGTACGTACGTACGGTATACAGAGATACACAATAAACAATTATACACGAGCACGTGTATAAGATGTTGATTAAAAGGCGGTTCACTTTGCACAGCCCGGCAATCATGACGAACAAAATGTTATCGGTCACATTTTCAATTAGAGCGGAAGAAAATTTTTTAATTGCCGGTCTCGCGTCGCAGCCCGGTACGTTACACTGCAGTAATGTGTGGACCAGGTGCCTATACTGACGGCGAGTTGCGGTCAAAGACGGCTCGGGATATTTTATTCGGCGGTTCAAGTTCGGCATGGGATAATATCCGCCCCGACCCATCGCCACCGCCACCGGCATTTCTGCGTGTATAATTGTGTATGCACCCTGTCGGTGGCGCGTTTACGGATATTGCCGAAGAGGGAGACATTGAATTTGGAAATTCAATGTTAGGTGCCTACATCGCATAACATGCGTACCTGGGTTAAAATAAAAGATCGATTTTCAATAACTGTAAATTAAATTCGGCCCGAAAATCGTCATGGAAATCGAATGTCCAACCGTAGGTGTTGGCAAGTAATTGTTTGCTTTATTTACTATTTAATTAGCTATACTAATCTAAACGCCTTCATTCTAAGACAGGTTCAGTTTTAAACAAGAAAACGCGTACGTTCAGGGTTTTTCTTTTTTATACATTACCTACAATAGGTAATATATAGAATAGATAGGATGGATAGGATAGGATAGGTAGGACGGTGTGCATTAAATTATTGATTTTCCTTATAATCGTTTATATTAATAAAAATAATAAAATATTTTAACAACAATACTGAAAAGACCGCAATGCACCGGCGTAATTAAAATATTAGGAATCAATATTTTATCGATTAACAATATTAATTGTTCTTAGTTTTGATAGGTATTATATCATAGAGGCATATTGCTATAGAAATAAATCATTATAATTTTGCACGAAAAATGGAATTCGTGAAATTTTGTCGACGTTCAAATGATCCGACATCACACATTTTTGACGATTTGGCGAACCATCAAAACTATATTCAAGTGTCGAAGTGTTGTGTTTATCAAATATGTTGCAATTATAAAGAAAAATTCTAGAATGCTGTGGACGGGTAACAGTCTATAGCGTAATAATTTCCACTAAATATTTCTTATCCATAGTAAACCCTAAGGAAAGTAATCAAGGTCAACCTAACTGTTCAGTAGTAGACTAGTACGTGCAATAATGTTTTGTTACACCCAATAAATTAAATTAGTGATACCTACTTATTACGGTTTTATACAAATATTTATTGTACAATATTACAGAACTATTTATTTCAAGTTTGTACGTTTCGTAGACAATACTGAATCATACTGTATTGTTTTAATAATCCGATAACTTGTTCGAATTATGATTTTAAAAAATCAGTTTGTCTGTGTAAACGAAAGTATTGTTGTCGTCTCTGAGTTAACATAATTTCCTAGTTGTCGTTACTAAATTATACGATACTTAAAACAAAGCGTTGTTTTCAGTGTGGTCGCGGTAAAAAATAATTTATTGTAGATGGGTGAATTATACATACGTATATAGTTAGAGATACTTTGTTGTTGGCGCATAGATTATAATCATGTGTGTACAGCTGCTCGTGTATAGTACAAAAGCGCCAAAATGATAAAGGACTGTACAGTAGACGGGTGCGACGGCACCGGGGGGAAGGCCAGAGTCCCAATCCTCTTCAATGCGTTTGCGCGTGCGTGTGTATTGGAACTTTTATATACGCCGTCGTATCACCTCTTACGGAAACGCTTTTGTAGTCGTCGGCAATTTTAATCATGTCAGCTCCGTATAGAATATAAAGAGGAAAATCTGTTGACCTGTAAAGCACCCGATTGACTCTTCTATATTATTTCGAATACGGGGCCGGATATGCACACACTGCGCACGCAACTCCTTATTTCTATATAAAGAAACTAAACTTTTTTTTTCATTTTTTTTTTTTTCTGTACAGATTACACACCTAGAGGGATATTGGTACCTACCCCCAAAGGGCGGCGATTGATCGCATTCAATCCGATTATTTGTATACAGAGCGGGTGTCCCGAGGGTTGTATCGGTAATATAAAGTCACGATTCAATATTTTTTTTTTTTTTTTTGCTACCTATCGCACGTCGTGTTTGTAAGAGTTTGACGAATTTTAATTGTTTTCGGTGAAAATCAAACTTTCTTCGATTTCCGAGATAGATATTTGTATGTACTGTAGCCCGCTAATATGGGATTTATCGCAACCAAAATGGGATTTAGTTGTATTTATTTATTTTCCTCCGTTCTTTACTGATGTCCATTGTTCTATTTATTATTATTGCTATCATGTAATAATAATAATAATAGCAGAAGACGACCGGTGAATTGCGAAAAATGATCGTAACAATAGACATTTGATTTTATGTAGGTCCTTATAGTTCTCATATTTTTTCATACTTTTTATTGTTATAATTGGATATTTTAATAGAAAGTAAACTTGGGCGCTCAAATATAAGATACTTTTCGTTAACAACTTCCATATTCGTGGACATACCCTCATTTGCAAGTAAAGTATTTTGTACAAAAGTATATAATATTATCGTTAGAGAGTAAATCATCATTATGTACCTATAACAAATTAAATTTAAGTAAAGAAATATTATTTATAATTAAATTTTGGTTGCGATTGTTATTTTCAATGAAAAATGTTTTATAAATCAATGAAAATGTTTTATGAAAATGTAATTTTTTTCTTTTGAGTTGTACAATGTGATACAATTTGTATACAAAATGATTATGCTTGAGTAATAACACGAAATTATTCTTAATATGGAATAAAAACAATTACAATTTAAAATTATAAAATCAAAATATAACAATAATTAATTTTTTTTTTTTCCGACAAGCTAGTTGAACCTAAGGCTTTTCTCAGGGTTTTTTCCATCGATAAAATTTAATGGTCTAACTTTAGCCCTATTCTTAGAACCTGCGTTAATAAGTTATGTTAAAGCTACTGGGATTCACTTTCTCTTAATTTTGCTACTTGGTAAAAATTAATTTTTCAGTGTATTCCATCCAGCCAGTACCTCTCAAAGAAAAACCTTTCTTCCTTCTCTAAACTCATATTTGACCACTTCCTTCCCACTCTATAAAATTACATTAAATAATTTATCTTTCTGTATACTTCACACCGACTCCTACATTCTATTTGATTGTCAAAATTATCTTCAAAATGCGCCGATTTGATTCGTCTTTTTGCCTCCTCTAACATTTCTTTTAATATTCAACACATTCTCTCTGCGCAACATTCATATTTTATTTGACCAATCTTGTTTGTTTTAAACCATTCAGACTAGTGTAATTCTTTGAGAATTAGATATTTCTTATCTAATTGATTATTATATATCCATTTAATGTTTCTCCCCTCCTCCTTAATTGGCCGAGATTAATAGTACAAGGCTTTGTCTGTGCACAGTATTGAATAAAAATTAAATAAAATTAAACCGTATTTTCCATTGATTCTCCGTTTACATCTCTTCTCTCAGTTAACCGTTTAAATTTATTTTTTAAAAGGGTATTTCCTTGTCTGTGACAACCATTTCAACTAATAATAATTAGTGGCTGGTAAAAAAAAAAAAAAAATGTTCGTACCAAAAATATAGACAAAAATGCTGTGTCAGCACCAGTTAGGGGTTGCATTTTGGACCCGTAGTTCGAATCGTTTTATTTGAAAATTAAAAAATACAATTAAAGCTAGAGACATTAATGTGCGTGTAAATGTTTTAAAAGTCTTGAATGTAAACATGTCTTTGTAAAATACCAATCAATACGGATTCAACCGTGGTAGGTACACATCACATTTATATGGAAGAAACAGAAAAAAAAACTGGCGGTCATAAGTGGTGCCAGAAAATTAAAAATAAAACGCTGAAACTATGCAGAGGCGTAAACGTGATTTTTGAAATGGGAAGGGATCAAAGAGACTGCATGAGGAGAAATGAAAGGGAATGGGGAGGGACGGTAAACTTCCCTTATAGGATTATCTGGATCAACAATAAAGACTGATTTTTTCGTAAAATGTGTTAGAGACTAATATTCTGTCTTTTGTTACACATTGTTTAACTTAATATGTAGTTCAGCTAAGGAGTTTTGAGTAGATGCCTGTAAGAATTTATGACACTTACTCAGAAAGTATTGTGGTCAAACCTAATCATAATTATTTAATATAATGTAGGAACTAATAGCGTCTTTTATCAATGTTGTAAACGAAATTTTATGTAGGTTTACACAATGTAAGAAAAAGGTGATGCAGGATCAAACTCCTATATCCCTCCTTCCTTCCTCATGTATATGTCCTTGAAACGACGGCGTTTCCACGACGGAAATTGTCTGAAATCATTCGAGATAATCGATTCGCTCGCGTTTTATACGTAATAATTTGTTCCCTACGCCTAACGCTTGCTAGATAACTTCTTAAACTATTTCTTTGTTTCGACTTATTATTATTATTATTTATATACATAGGTTTACATGCAGCTAAAATCTCCCGAGTCGTTTTATAACGAAAGTTTTTTGATTTTCAAGAAAGTATGGCTGATATGTTTTTATTGTGGTCCACCACGATGACCGTCCCAAGGACGACGGCTAACGGATATTTTGTGCGTTATTTTTTTTTTCTGTTATAAACCAATATCGTAACAGTCCGGCGACAGCAGCTGCTGCTCTCGTTGATTTCGAAAGTGCGAGGGTGATTAGAGAAAAAAAAAATAAAGCGGTTTTTTTCCGATAATATTATTATTTCATTATCTCGTTTACTATAATAATATATATTATATGTGTGTGTGTGTGTGTGTGTGTGTGTTTGTGCTCTTAATAATTATATTATCATAATACAAACCCGTATTACGAAATCTGTTCTGTAAGAACCCCGACAAAGGACAATAATATTATGTGTCTATACGTACATACATTACATGTTACATTAACATTTTTTTCACTGAATATGTGCGGCGAGCCAATCCGGATTGTGTTTTCGTTCTCACTTTCAACACGATATTATTATAGGCGGACTTTACACGCCATAGATTGTATAGAGTCATGGAGAGCCAAATAATAATAATCACCTAGTACCTACACGGTCAAAATAGATTTCTACGAATATTACGGTCGATTAAAATGGCCGATTACCTGTTTCGCACTCGACTAAAGGGAAAAATGTTAAAAGGGTATGCATTAAAAATAAATAATAATATACTACGAAGACCCTGAACGGGACGAAGGAACTTAGGAACTTTTATAATGGTTTTTACTTCTTAAAAAGTATTTTTATTGTAATATGCAGTAAATATGTGCTCAGAAATTAAAACTTTTGAAGTAATTAATAATGAATCCCACGATGCAATCCCTTGATATTTTCGAAGAATATTAGAATATTCTTCGGAATGTGTTAGTTTTAGAGTTCAAATTAAATATTTTGTTTGGGAAATTTACAAAAATTAGTTAGGTCGTCTGTACAGGGCTGAAAATATGTCGGTGCTTGTGGACTATACTGGGTCGGTAATAATATTTAACGATAATTTATTTCTATATAGTCGACAAAAATAATAATTTCTTAATTCAATTTAAATTTTGTCTTTTATTTTATCATACTACAATTATTGTTACAGGTTATCATCATAATAATAGGTATTAGGTATTATTGTAATGAGTGAATATATTTTTGTAAGTTAGAATATTCGATATTTGGATTTGCACAATTTTTAATCACATCCCTTCATCGATTTTTGATAGCGTCGGATCTGGGTCTGACATATTATGTAAAATTAAATTAGTACCTGCCAGTTAATTCAAAAAATAATATTGATTTATTTGCATAGTAATTATTTAAAAAATCCGTTCCTTAGTTATTACAGATATAACTATAGCTATAACAACTTGTATATTAATATCTATGATAATTATTTTAATTCGTTTAAAAATGTATTTATATTTGATGTAATATGCAATGAATTTTACCCATAGGGGTAAAAGTATTTAATCGATGCAAACTCGTATTTATATAGTTTATTTCGAATACGGTCGTATACTTTCAAAGCTAACAACAATTCCTATTGGTATAAAGCACATTATTATACAACAAATGCTTTTTTGTTTTGTCAAGGTTTTTTATTTTATAAAAACTCGAATCGTACCTAATAAAAATCAATTTTTTTTAAAATACAATTTATTCTGTTGGACAAATATTTTTATGCAATAATAAATGTATATTCAAAGTGGATGCAATACTATGTTATGCTGTTATTTCAAGATATAATTTTTTTTTTAAATTCAGAGATATTTTTTAGTTATTATGAACATGAAATTGTATACTGTTCAAAAGTTCAAAACAAGTTTTTTTTTTTTAAAGTATCTAGTTATAATAACAGTTAACAATAAATTATTATCGAAAAATCATGGTTTAATATTCTATAATATTTGCTATAACACAGAGATAATATAAATAGTAAAGAAAACCTATTTAACTTTAAAAATATATCAAGACAGATATTGTGTCTCGATATTGTGATTCGTGTCGAAGTTATTACTCCTTAATGTAAATTTGACAGTGATAATATTATTGTTATATTATTTTAATATTTCTATTCGTTTTTAACTTAAACCTTAAGATGCTTGTATTTTTATAGTTATGTTTTTGAATTGCGAGAAAGTTAGTATTATCAATAGGAAGTATAGTAAATTATGTCATAGTTTTATAGATACTAAAAGAAAAGAATTACCTACTATTTTATTATTAGGGATATTATGAGTATATACAATTTTATTTGAAATGTACTCTAATATTATATTAATATTTACTTTGTACAGTTGGTTAAAGTTAATAAAATCCCTATACGTATTATAACTAATAAGTATAAAGTATAATAATATGATCAATATAATTCTGTTGTTAGCTAAAACAATAATATTATAATAACTTTAGCGTCATACATGCCTAGTTATTTGACTTGAGTCGTTAAAGTCCATTTGTTGTAGGCCTAATTTTGTAATATTAAAAATTATAATAATATTGTGAACTTTAGGGTTTACGTTGAACAACCCATATCATTAATTTCACCCATCACGAATTCATTTTATAAATTATAATACTGTGATATATTATAATAAATATTAAATTCTTGGTTATATCGTTGGTTCATTTATAAACCGAATTGTCTAGAAAAATATTCATCGAAGGAAAATTAAGATATTTTAACTATTAAATAGTGCCTTTTAAACACATTGGTATAACACCTATATTAAAAAACAAATTATAATAATAAAAAAAAAAATGATTGAAGTAAAAATTAGTATTAGGAATTTTATATATTTTATTTAAAAAAAAAACGGAGTTGTATTATAAAACTTATAAAAATCATTAACTGAAAAAGTAGCTACTTCGTAATAAAAAATTTATGTAAAACCTGTATACGTGTGTATGTAAAAATCAATACATTTCTTAATAATATATTCAGAAAACTTGTCATGGTGACAATTTTTGTTGCTATAGTGTTGTAAGCATTTTCTGTAAATAATGTATTCGTTTTGTTTTAAAGTCCTGCGCTTTATCCGTATTCATATTTTTGCGGTAATTGCACTGTTGCAATAAGCTATGGCTATTTAGAAAATTACTATTTTTGACAGATATCTAATCATAAATTTAATAACATATAAAACGGGTTTCGAGTAGGTAGTCGTAATTTGTCCCGAGTCACATTAAATAATGTTTTATCTGCGTCATTACCTACTGTTAGTTGGAAAATGTTTAGCTTTCGGAATCTGTACTAAAATTCAATTTCGCGTTTTGGTGTTACCGAGCAGTGAGAACACTACCGTTCGAATAACGCGAGTATAACCCGTGCACGTGTACACGGATTTTTTTTTAAGCACGCGGTTTTTACCGATTCGAATGTCGGTTTCACGCGGACACGTGAAACGCGGAGCTCTCGCACACTCCGTGTGCTGCGTGAATACGCCGACGTTGTCCGCGTTTCCCTTCTCCTCACCGAGCGAGTTCGCGGCGCACAGTTATCTCTTCGGTTAAACAAAAATATTTACGTTTTCCGTATTATTATTATTATTATTATTATTACTACTATTGCGCGCGTAGAGTATTTATTATTATTAATATACAATGTGCGCGTGTGCGCGTGCGCGTGTGTGTATGTGTGTGCGTGTGCGCGTGTGTGTATGCGTATGCGCGCGTGTGTGTGCGCGTGCCAGTTATACATTTTACGCAAAACGGGCCCGCGTTCGCGTGTTCCGGGCGGTGGTATCGACGGCGGCGGCGGCGGCGGCGTTCGGATTGCTCTGGGGTTTGACTAATTTATTTTGGTTTCGGCAAGACGGGCCGTGTTTTGCGGTCAAAAGCGGTTCGGTGCCCGGGCCGTAGTGTCCGATGGTAATTAATAACTGGACCGACTACTGATAAATCATCCGCCGAATCGCGCGCGCGAGTGTGCTACCGGAAAACCGGCCGTCGCGCAATAAAGAAAAATACGATTTATAAAAAAAAAAAAAAAAAAAAAAAAAAACCGGCAAAAAACGAACAACCCCCCCCCCCCTCCCGTATAATTGTGTATTCGCGTACACGTACGCGGTACATACACGCGCGCACGGACGTCGTTGTTGTCCGTCCGTCCGACTGTCCGGCGGCGACAGTGGCGGTTTTTTACTGCATAATACACTCGTATATCATAATATAATGTAAATATAATATACAATAATATTGCGAATAAATACAATACAGTAATATTTAAATCACGATGCGCGTAAATAACTTATAATGGGTACTTCCTCGTTCTCGTTAATTTTTAACTGTTTTTTAATCCGAGCGAAAACACGTATAGAAGATTATTAGTATTATATATTCTATACCGTGTATACCTATGCAATTATCGGGGAAATCAACCGACCAGTCTTTTACTAGGTACCTATATGGTTGTATCGATTTCGTTACGGTAATAAGTTCATTGCAGTGGAGTATTTTGTAGGATTTTGTCTTGGACGGGAAAATATACGTAGTCGTACGGAGGTCAATATTTCGAGGAAGAGGGACTCCGGCTCCTCAGCCCCCCTCAAGTTTTCTTAAGTTATAACAACTTATTCACATCGTAAATATTAAAAAATACGTCATCAAAATCATAAATATGTAATAATATATGTTACGTTAAAACATTATTTTCTTTATTATATTATTGTATGTATATATATATATATATATATATATATATATATGTAATATATACAGTTTAATTGATAATTATAATATTTTACATAATCCATAACGCAAAATCAAATTTTCTATTTTTGAGACTTAGCTCATCAATGACTTCATCTGGTATTATTATAAATGTATGAGTGATCGGTGACATGTCTGCAATAAGGTCGACCCGGATTTAGTCTGATCTAATAATAAGAATATATAATAATCTATTACAGTTACACATACCTCAATCGTAAATAGGAAAAAATATTAAGTATTTACAACTGTCATACTTTTTCTAGGATTTGATTTAATCCGCTCACAACTTTCAAAAGTAGCGGTTGATACTGGTAAAGCACAAAATATTTTTAGAAGCTTATGCTATGTATATTTGGATTAAATACTGTGTCACAAATATCGAATGCATATTATAATCCTGAGTCAAGACTCGAGATTATTATTTGTATTTTATATTATATTAAATTGTTAAATCATTATAAGTAAAACATCTGCTTCCGAAAATATCTCTGGTGCGTTACTACATCTATGACCGTAATATATTTCCGAGGAGGTAAAATAGTAAGAAAAAAAGTCGTGGGAAATCTATTATTCGAATCCACCTCCGGTAAATATGCCACTAGCTCATTATACAATTATACGTGCACCGTAATTTTAAATGTTGTAGATTTCGTTTTCAGACTTCATTTACAATTTATTTAAATATGATTATTGATAATCATTAATATGATTCATATATTACAATAAAAGATGATGGTGATCAGAATTAATAATTAAACGGTGTACATATCGGAGTTATATTATGTTTCGAATATCATTACTAATCATATTTTAATTAATAATGTTTTAAATAAATGAAAATGACCTTTTGCTCGTGACAATGTAGTAATTTATGAATAAAAAAAAGCTAGCAGGATACCGAAACTGGGTGTAAGAATTAATTTTGCTTTATTCAATTCGTAAAAAGCTTCTGGATTTGTTATTTAAAATTAAAAATCAGTACAAAATTATGTACGTAGAAATACTCTAGGATACTTTACAGAACTAGTACTACACTATATAATGCCTATAGTCTATAATTATAAACTTTTAAATTTTAAAGCATTTTAATTTTGTTATAAATTATATTTTATATATTATACATTGATAAACAAATATGAAGACTGCAGAGTTTCTGATGGGATATTTTAACAATATATTATCACAGTGACAATACATTAATTTTTGTTCTCTAAGAAAAATTAGATATTATATCGAAATAGTAAACGGAATATTGGTACGGTCTATTGTGTTTTGAAAAAAAAAAATTGGGAAAAAGGTGGAATATTTGTACTTTCTATAAAATATTTTATTTTCGATGATTCAAAGAACGTGTGCAAAATTAAATTAAATATAAATTCATAATATACCTACAATATTTTCAGTTGTTCAATATTTGAATAGTTTATATAGGTACTAATAAAATTAATAATTTCACCTTATATAATACAATACTCTGTAAAAATGCTTGCAATTGCACTAGGTCATATGAAATTTATATAATATCTTTAATCATCGTTATTGTCATTGTTGTTACAGATTAGATTTAAGATAAGTTCCCAGAGCATTATCAAAAATAATAGCAATAAGTAACAATAAGGTTTTGTAGGCGATAATATCATTTGCAGCAGTGCCATGCTTAGCAAAATCGGTATCTGATGTCAGACAAATTTATTGACGATGAACAAAAAAAAAAAACTAAACCGTCCGTTGAGCGTTATTTAAGGAAACCCCGATTTTTAACGACCGTGCCAATTTTCTGACAACAATACCGAAACAACACAGACGCCTAATTACATTTTATTAATTTAAAAATTTAATTTGGAAATATAATTATTAATTGAATAGATATATCATTGTTCTTTTGACAATAACATAAGCGAGGTAGAGATGTTAACAGCTAACGAGATAATCTTGTTGATATTACCAATGGTTTTTTTTCTCAGTATATCCAATGATTTTATTTTACTCGATTTTATGTAATTTTTTCGATTAAGCTATAAAGACGATAAAGAAATTCAGTAAGATTTTTTTGTCAGTGAAACGGAAACTATAATAATAATAATAATAATAATATTACATGTCGAGTATGTTCGACCTAATCGTAAATGTCTCGTTCGCGAATAAAAATTAACCACGTGACCCATAATATTTACATACCGGTATATGGTAATAATATTATACACGGTATAATGTATTGAGTGTGTGTATCTGTATTCTATATAGCGAATAGATAGACAAAAAACAAAAAAAAAAAAAAAACCGTGATACGTGTGCAGTAAAGTTTTGTGAACGCCGAACAAAACCTCTGTCGGTGGCGCGTGTTGGCGGTATATTAATTTATATAGTTTTCGCTGGTAGCGCGCAACGCTCGTCTATTTAATTATACCGCGTGCGCAACGTGGCGCGGCAGTGGCGCGAACGCATCGGAGCAATTAGTTACACCGGGGGATAAGTCGCTGTCTCTCGAAATATCCATTCCTCACTGCCGTTCTTATAACGTACGCATACGCAGATATTATACTCGCATATGATATACAGGCGTCACTCGAGCGAGTGTACCGTCTTAATTTGCCAATAATATATTATATATTAAATAATATTATAAACTACAATATATATATATACACGCATACACATAATATTATGTATAGCGTGGGCGTATTATGTGCAGCTCCGGAACTCGTCTTCAATAGTCGTAAATTGTCGTGGTTTTGACGTTATATTATAATATGATTTAAGTACGGCGTATAGGCGCACGCCAATATTATATTACTCTGTATATCATTATGTTCGCGATGATTGCGCGTGACGATAGGTGCCTACGTACCTGCGACATCTCCATCGCGCGTAATTTACTTGTAAATCACGAAACCACGGTCCCGTCCAATGATACGAACGCGCGTAAAATCGTATTCGCCCACTCATGAATCATAATACGCAAGTTCCCGAAATCGTATGCGCTTGGAGTACGATGGCTCTGCGTGGCTGCGAAATTTGCACTATCGCGTTGCAGGCGAGTCAATAAAAAACCGGCGGATTTTGAACGACAACGCTCAAGATTTGAATCGATAGAAATAATAATTATAATTGGAAGTATTGACCGGAATAAGGAAAAACCGAGAATTTCGGCATTGTACCTGTATACGTCAGACGGGTTAAAATGACAGGGCGTCTACTGCGTTACGATAGCTTAACGACACGCGTCACATAAGGTGACGTAAAAGGTCATATTGGAAGAGAAAGACCGACGATGAGTACATGAGATAAACCGCAATGGACACTAATAAGAAAGTTATGCGGATTTAAAGGAGTTGAGTTATGCTAGAGTCGCACGGTGAACTGCAGCAAACCAATCAAACGACTGGAGATTAGAAGAAAAAATCCGATCAATAAGTTTTACTCATACAGCAGCCACCCACCCACCTGATTCGGTCATGCTGTAGCTGTTTCATTGGATATCCATTCACGTCACTAGATAATGTACTTACTTATATTATAATGAATTATATTTCCGTTAGGAATTTTTTAACCGAATATTAAATTTTCGATGTACGATATAGTTTGTAATAGGTTACCGACCACCCAAATAGGGGGGGACACATTGACTTATATTATCACCTTTGAATAACGCAAACGTGAACTATTATGACTGATCCGAGTCTTGCATATTATATATTTATTTCGCGAGTATTAGTTTCGCATAGTTGTGTTTTCTTAGGCCGGTAAACTCCAGTTCCTCGATAGCCGTTTCAATAATATTGTTAGCATACCACGGTTGACTGACGTGTATATTCGACCAACCTTATATAATGGAATGTTAAAATAATAAATTATTAATTATAAATGTGATACATTATTATATTTATGGGTTTTACAATGCGACTTCGTGACGGATATTTTACAAAGCGGATCGACAGGTTTTTGAGTGTTGTATACAATTTTGACGTATGCAGGCAATAATATAATGCGTCTATTATATATATATATATATAGTTCGATCGGTTTAATCGAGTGACCTGGGCATGCGAGGGAGTGTCGCTGGCATGTGGTATATGTCGGTAATATTATACTTTGATTACAATATTATTCGAATATGTTATTATTATGGTATAGCGCTGACGATGGTAGTTTTATAGTGAAAGGTGGCGCAAATGTGTAGGAAAAGTAAAATCGTATTGTCGACTTATATTTCGGGCAATAATAAGTCACGACGACCTCCGCGCGGTGTTAACGAAAATAAAAACAAATTTGCGATTGCAGTGTCTGCTGCAGCTGCAGGAACAACGGGACAATTAGTAATCGTTAAATAAGACATCGGTAATATCCCTGTAGACACAGAGGGTCAAAACATCGACTGGTTATTTCTATTACATTTGGTTTTGTCAGCATATTCGTGGTTATATTGTACTGTGAACATTATTTTAGAACGATTGGATAAAATTAATGCCTCTATCGGCTTACTTATTTGTGTTTGTGTTTTTTTATTTTTTTCTATTAAGATCATTAGAAAAATAGGTAGGTACTTATTGTATTATAATATCGTCTTTTAATATTATTTTTTCATTTCTTCCTACCGATATGTTATACGGATAGTGTATTTATAGAGAATTAATTAACCGAACGGCACCACATTATCATCGTTATTCTTTTATATTCTGTTTAGTGTATTGTTTTAATCAATGTGCGTGGATACTAAATTAACGTATAGTTGTGCTAGGCGCGTGCTTAAGGCAATTTTGTCTGATTATATTCAATAGTGTCCCAAAATTAACCATACTAAAATTATTTAAATAGGTAGTGTAATATATTTTTATATCATAAAATTCAAATCACTTTTGACATAATTTTACAGCTAAAGTTTCAGGTGTTGATTATTATAAGTAACATAAAGCTCACATCCAGTTATAAATATATTACAAAGTAATATGCACAATGTAAGCCTACCCCTCCTTCGAAGAACAAAATATACGCGTTTTACTATTTCAGATGAGAGATTGGGCGTTTTAATATTATTTAAAATTGATAATTAATTATTAAACTTGATTTAAGTGATATAAATAACTTTGATATACAAAAAGCTAAAAATGGGATGATTTAAAATTTGAAAAGGTAGACGGTTTGTTTGATTTGAATTGAATTATATATTTATGCATTTTTTTTCTATCCATTACACACAAAATATCGAAGGTTAAACAAGTGAACATTTTTCTTTTATGACCTTACAATATAATAGGTTATTAAATTTGTGCCTATTGTCTAGGGCTTTACTTGGGCTTAATTTGGCCCTGAGTCTAATGAACTTTTCTTCTTGTTATAAGCGGATACAATTTATTCAATTATTATGATATTATAATACAGAATCTTGTTTAGATATGCACGCTAGGTATATAAACGCAGTTGTTTTGTCTTTCTCACCGTAACTATATAAAAAACGACGATATAATAATAATTAGGCCGAACGAATGGGGAAACCACGGGGTTTTGTCTCTATCCGGATGCTAATTTTCAATGAGAAGAGGTGAAAACGATTCGATAAGAAAACAAAACCCGAAATTCTAATAAAAAAGAAAAAATAATTTTTGCGTGAGCTGAACACGCGCGTGACTTTATACCGGTAAATCCGTGTCGTCATTGTTATAATTTTCTTTGCTATAGGTATTTTGTGTGCATTATAATAGGTAGGAATAGATTGGTGGACAATGTGTTGGCAAAACACAATAAGTGAATAATATTATGTTAGAGATACATGTGATCCAACATAATTTTCATACTTTTTGCGGTGTATAATAATTTTCTAAAATGTTTTAGTTTTTATACGAATATGTACGAACTAAAAGATAATTGAATTGAAGGACAAAAAAAAAAAAAAATTGATTTTAAAATTATATTATGTTCCTGATAATATTCATTAACCATTTCTTTCGGAAAAAGAGCGTAAGTAAATTTTGTATAGTTTTCAATAAAAACGAATTAAATTTTGAAATTATTTTAATGACATAGGTAATGGCATAATTGTAAATTATTAAATTGTTAAATAGTCCAACCTAAATATGACGTTCTCATATGATTATACGACTTGAGAAATTTTAATTTTCTGTATAATATGTATTATAAAAATATATATATATATATAGTATACACTTTATACTATTTAGACTAAAAATTTAGGGAAACGAATTTGTAAGAAAAAATTAATGAAAATTGACACTTCTTCTACTTTATGACTTGATTGCTTTTTTCTTGAAAGGAATGATTAGTGGTTGGTTAGGCGTCATAAGTGATACTATAAAGGTATATTATCAAATCAATTAATATTAAAATATATAATCGTGGATCGTGGTTGATAAATGGTTTTTAACAATTTTATTGATATACGGTCGTGTGTACACATTTTGATCGAAAGTATAGAAAATATTTTACTTCTTTATAACGGTTAAAAAGATCCATTGTATTTGTTAGATTGCGGGAAAAATTATAATTTTCCGATAAAAACGTCAGCGAAAACGTGCCCCTTTTTCGTTTACAATTTTGTTTATCGCGTTTATTAATTTCGTAAATTCAAGTGCGTGTAATTTTATTTTCAAAGGGTGCCTACCTATATATACCACCTACCCTTTTTAATATCTACCTACTTCAATGCAGCTATTGTATTCGGAACATAATGCGTTATTTGAAAAGCCCCTCCGCTGCAGTTGTTGGTTTTTAAAGAAATTATTATTATTTACATAAATATGCATACACTTTAAAAAAAAAAGTTAGACGCGGGTGGGTGGTGGGGAGGGCGTTCGTGTCGAATAATAATAATATAACGTTGATAAAAATCATAATAATAACAATACCCATACACTTATGTAATATTATTATATGAATAAAACATAATGCAGATTAACGGCGATACAATAATTTATCACGCGTGCGACGTATACATCCGGGATACGTTTTCCAATATTATAATACAACAGCGCGGTTTATAGTTGCGATGGAATCGCCATAGATGACTTACCGGACGTCAGGCAGAGGAGTAGAACGGCCGCGGTGCAGACGATCCGTCGGTGCGGGCACGCCGCGGCGGTAGACACTTGGCCGGGACAACGCATCGTGCTGTGGCGGCGCGCGTCGTATCAACGGGTGAACGTGTGCGACACGAATGAGCGGCACGGGAGAACGCGCTTCTTGGGCAGCCGCGACGGTGCTTGGCGGAGTTGCGGTAAAGAAGTCGCGTCGGAGACGATTGGACGTCCGCCGAACCCGGTCGCGGCCGCCGGTTCTTTCGCCGTCTCCGAAGCGTGCCCGGTTCCCCACCAAACGCGAAAAGACACCGCGGGCACGGCGCAGCGGATACCGTGTCGGAGGTGATGTGACGGGCGGCGACAGCGGAAAGAAATGGGTACACGCCGCCGTCGTCGTCGCGGTCGTCGGTCGTGATGAGGACTGTTATAATCATACCCGCGTAGCGTTGTCGTTGTGAAATCGGTACGGCACGCGTTCTTTCCGGGTATCCGCGTTCAAATTGCCGTCATCGCATCGACGTCCGCCGTGCTAACCGTCACCGTAGACAATATTATTCGCAGGACTCCGGGAACGGGGCGGTGTCGCGTCCGAGATTATTGTCTTCTAGCGGGCAGAGTTGCGTCCCGACGAGAAAAAATTCAAAAAGTGTCATACCCTACTCGCGTCCAGTAGTGGCGTTTTGAGACAGCCTGTTCGCGTCCAAGCTTTTAACAGCGTACCTACGTTGTACAACGTAGGCGGTGGCGATTACTACATTAATATCCGAGGCCGCTGAAGTAATACACATCTGCTTCTAAGTTCTGCAGTACAAATTAGTTTTGATGGTTTTTTTTCGGTATGTCCGAAACAGCTTTTCGCTTTAGTCCATTACTTAATTTTCATATAATCGTGATTGTGTGAAGTCGGTTCGGAAATCATATTTTTCAAATCATCGAGCTTTAAACAACTTCTGCAAGTTTTACGGTCCGCCAGGCCAAAATAGACTTACATAATTGAAAAAAAGAGGTATTCAACGTATAGTATAGGAATTTATTCATAATTTTTATCGTACACAATGGCACTTAAGTTACTGTATCACCCATTAAACAAAAAAAAAAAAAAAACAATCATAAGCAAATCATAAGTTGTCTAAGTGGTCCGTAGTGTCAAAAAGGTTAGTAACCACTGATATAGAGTTATCCGGGGTGGCTTCATGAGGAGATGGTTATTATTATTTATTTTATTATTTTGGCTTATTCATTTTTAGTTTGGGGGTGAATGTATCAATTTTGTATAATGTTTTTGTTTTTTTTTTTAATTTAAGAAAAATGTTCTTTATTTTTTTTATTGTTATTATTATTATTTTAGTATCTATACTTCTGTAGTCGGGTGCAAAAATTACGGAACTACATAACTACATCGGGGTATATTTACTATTTAGCTTAGTTCACTCGCACTTATTGACCGTAAATGAGTCGAAGTCGTGCTCAGTTATTGTCACGGTTATTTAGTGTAGATAACCGCAGTTATTATCAAAGATGAAATAAAATGTGCGGTTTTTTCTTCACCGTTCAAAGTTTTTAGCCGATTGGTATAAGGGATTAGTATCAGCATTTATTTATCAGTATTTAAAAGTATTTAAAATGGTATAGGGCATTCAGGTCTCCGAGCTATAGTATATATTTGCCTGATATATTATTATGAAGATATTATGGGCCTGCAAAGTGTGACATGTCACTGAAACAATCGAAATCGTTTTTTTTTCTTATATTTTACTAGTTTAGTTTTACATTTATTCATATATGCTAGTGAATTTGATTTAAAATGTTAGATTCAAAGTAATTAAATGCTGATATTAATTTTTGAATTTTTGATATTGATATAACAATAATATTTTACTATTTGCACTTATTTTTCATAAATAAACTACAAAAAATATACTAATTTTGACATAATTTTCGCAATATAAATATTGGAAACATGTCGCTCCTTACAGACTCTACCTTGAGTGGCTATCAAAATCCATCTCAACTACACTATTACATAATGTATATTTTAAGCGTAAAAAATGGAATCGGTATAATGGTATTGAATGATTTGGATGCATTGATTTTACTATATAAGGTAGATGCGTAACTAGATTAGAGTTGTGATCACTGAAATATAATGAGTTTTTTTTACAAATGTACGTATTACGTAGTTGTATGATTTATAATTATCAATTTTGTATGTATTAACATAATGTTGTAACATTGTCTACGGTGTGGTTTAGGTTATAACTTACTAGTTATTATAGACATAGAGCAATATAATATAACTACTAACTTATCGTTATTACATAGAGTAGCTGCGAATAGGTACCTACAATCATTTTATATGTTTATGGCATAAACTCTGTGGACTATGGTAATAACTTACTAAAAACATGTTTAGCGTTAGGTTTTATGTATCGATGTGGTTTTACTATCAATAGAATAAATACTACAAGAATAATAGAATGTAATAATTCATAGTTATTTAATGTTTAATTTAAAATTTTCCTATATAGTTATAATTTTTTAATTTTGCAACTTAAAAGTTATAAATTATTATTATTGTTAACTACAACTTATGAGTAAATTATATTTAAATATTTAATATAGCCTTAATTGTTTTCCATTATGCGTTATTTGCAGAACCGCGTTTAAAGGGAAGAGGGGAAGAGGGGGCAGTTACCCAGGGGTGACAAATTGCACGGCGCTTGGAGGGGCGGAACATTTGTATGAATGTAGTTAAATAGTCAACTAACAACTGTGTAACCAAAACGTATTTTTACCATGGGCGGCAGTTTAGTTTAATACTCGGTGTTTGTTATCTGTAAATAAAAGTTAAACAATTTAAAGATTTACTCATAAATCTAAAACCTAACTTGACCTTACACCTTTTCCCTACTAAATACCTTTCAAAATTGAATTTCCCCCCAAAACAAAATAAATCCTGGTTGTGCCACTGGTGATGCTTTTGATTCTGTCTATACAAAACTCTTCTTCTACAAATCTTGCATTGATCATTAACTACTACTATAATACTTCTGATTATAAACTTTGTCTAGTTAGTGTGTTGGGAAAGTTATTTTATGATTTTTCTTAATAATTAGGAAACAATGAGAATTATACAGTGACGGTTCCTGTTATTTTCGGTTTAGTTTTTTGTTGTTGTTTGGTAAAAATAATCGCAGAGACTTAAAATGTCCACTGAATATTATTTTTTATTAATCCTTTCTAAATATCGTGTGATTTTCAAACCATCCCGGAGTTAATCATTTCAAGTCAATTGATATTTTCGATTTTTTAAATTGTTCGTGGAGGTCATGTTGATGAGATATTATTATTTTTTACATTACCTACGATTTAATTTTTTTTTTGGGCTGAGATTACTTGTCTATTTAAAATCGATACGTGCACTATTGTATAACATCCATTCATCTTACGTAGACAATATCATATATTTAGTAATTGTATTACGTTTTAAATCTGATGGCTCTTCGAGACGAGATTGAACCGAGATAATCTCGATTAGAGACGAACACGTTTACTCACGGAATACGAAGTGCACGAAATATTTATCGATTACACAAAAGTCGACCGTGGTCATTATATTATATATTTTCTGACACATAATACAAACGCCAAATATGAAGTAATATTTAAAACTGGTTTCAATATGAATATTATATGATCATATTAGTTATGCTATATTTTTTACTTATTAAACATATTATATTGCAAACAATATCCTTATTGTTAATTTGTTGATAAAAGTAATCAGATTTTTAAATATAAGAAAATTCTTAACAGGAATATCATCGCTAAATATTATAGATGGAATTATAGTCGACACTCTCATATATGGTTTATTATAGTTAAGACGCATTTAGGCATCACAAGCTCAAACCTATAAATGTTTAACTTTATTCTACAATTGGACATACACATCTAAAATATCGTTTATACTATCCAATTCACTTAAAAAACTATTCTATTCTGAATGGAGTAAGGATTGTAAGTATTGGTTTGATTATAATGTGCGGGTTTTTTATTTTTTTAATTTTAGATTCTAAGTGTAGCAAAGAATGTATTGGTTTTAAAAAGATGTTTATTTATTTATTATTATTATTTTTTTCTAAAAGAAATTTTCTAGGGGCGGTACTATAGGGAGGTTTTCCCTAGATAGATTTCTCCTAGATAGATTTCTCCTAGAGTTTTTCCAACAAATGTGAAAAACTGGGAAAAACGTATAAAAAGCGGACAAATCGATACAATATTAAAAAATTATTATTTTAAGAACATGTAATGCCTATTTAATTATTTTACTATAATATGATATATATATATATATATATATATTGTTGACAAAGTATCACTATCAACTGAATCGTGTTTAGTAAACACTAAGCAATGGTTTATCGTTGTTTACAGATACAAATTAATTTCCCCTCTATATCTTACCTTCCCAATATCTCACCATAAAAGTGGCTGCGCCCATCGTGCGAAGTATGTCTGACTATTTAAATTTGTTTTCCATATTTTTAACAACTTTTCTACCAGAAATTTTACTCAATTAAAAATATTACAAGAGAGCTTATTTGTAGAATTTTGGATCTAGATGGTGACTTGAGGAAGTATTTTTCTTTATTTTTTAAGAAGTTTTTATAATAATGAGGAAAATTCAGAAAAAAATGTCTAGGAAAAAGTTAAAAGTTCAAAGTTGAATAGGAATTCTCCAAATCATGAAATTTCGCGTACAATCTTTCGATTCACGGGAATGTAATTTTTTGATTAAACCAAAATATCTGTAAATTTAATAATTTAGATAATACGAGGTTCATCTTAAGTTGTATTTTATATTAAAAAAAAAACTAAAACTACGTGTAATGTGTTAATTTTTTTATGCATTTTATGTTCAAATATTGACGATTTTAAGCAGCATTAAAATTTTATATTGTCGTCATTTGTTTATCACCATTACATTTGGGGATGAAATTGTGTTAGAAATGCCATAAATAGACAAGTTTTTAATTTAAATAAATGTTAGTGTTGACATTTTTATATCTGTTGACTTATTGACGAGATTTTACACTTAGAAATTTTGGCAGGAGGAAAGTAATAGAGCATCATTATTGTGAGGTGTGACGTTTTATTAGTGCTCCACTAATCTACTTCTATCCACAAAACGGTAA